GGGGGGGGGGGGGTGCAGGGCGTTTCTAAAAAAATTGGTCAGAGTAAGATAATTATTAAAGTTTTTGAGCACTTTGATACATTCTTTTAAAAAGTAAAATTGTTATGGGATCTTCCTTTTTTTCTATTTTGGCGTTGACAACATTTTTTAACTGATTTTGCAGACACATGCTTTTAAATAATTACGTCACATAATTTTTCTGTAATGTATGGAACATTTACAAAAAGATAAGAGAGAAATTATTATGATAAACTTGAAAACAAAACAATTATCTGATTCAATCTTTTTCCATGAATCATTTAAAATTTCAAGGTTGATTTATGCATGCAAAATTTACACAGAACCCTTAATGATAATGATAATGATAATGATAATGATAATTATAATGATAATGATAATGATAATGATAATGATAATTATAATTATAATGATAATGATTATGATAATGATAATGATAATGATAATTATAATGATAATAATAATTATAATGATAATGATAATAATAATGTTAATGATAATTATAATTATAATGATAATGATTATGATAATGTTATCTAATGGGATGATTATATACATGATATCAACAAGGATGATAGTGATGATATCAATGATGATGATGATAGTGATACTATTGATGATGATGATGATAATGATGATATCAATGATAATGATGATAGTGATTCTATTGATGATAATGATGATAGTGATAATATCAATGATAATGATGATAGTGATGATATCAATGATAATGATGATAGTAATGATATCAATGATAATGATGATAGTGATGATATCAATGATAATGATGATAGTGATGATATTGATGATAATGATGATAGTGATGATATCAATGATAATATGATAATGAATAATAGCTGGAAATGCTAAAGCCCTAAAGTAAATATATTTAAAACTCTGTCATCTAATCAAGGAAGAAAGTATTGTCTAGTAAAGGGACTGATTGCAATATTACTAGCTGTGTATCCTTCATCAAATGTTTTTTTTTAACAGCTCTCTCGTTGTTTCAAGTATATTCGAATCATTCCTACACCTGTCACTTATGGGTTAATTTCCCAGTATTCGGGTCAAATCCTATGAATGATGTCCAAGTTTGAAGTAATAAATTGTATTTTTTTCTTCAAAAAAAATTATAATTCTTTTTCTTGCTTTAGAATATGTGAGCCCTGATCAGTCCTCAGTCCTCATTTGGTCGAATCAAGGTTATAATGCAAGGAAAGTTAATAATAGTTGCGTATACTCTGCGTACATATTGAAACCAGTTCTCTCTGGGCGGAATTTGTAAACAAGAATAGATGCATCAGTGTTTGTTTAGTATCCGAGGAGGATAAAAGCATTGAATTTTGAAAATTTTGATAATTCACAGAATAGTTTCCCAAGGCCAAAATATTTCATTGATTTTTTATGTGAAAGATGGATCCCATGTCAGGCTTCGACATCCGTCTTGTGTTTACATTACCGCCCAGAGACAGTACAAAAGATACGTACACCTCTAAAATAACTTTCCTTGCATTATAACCTTGGGTCGAATTACCATGCAAAATAAAGGCTTGGTCCGTCTTAAACACACCGTGGAAAATTTTAAATCCGTAAATTTTACACAAATTTTTTTAAAGCTTAGGAAAATTAAATAATTTATAATAATACTAATAATAATAAAAAAAAATTTAAAACTTAGCTTTCTTTCTGTTGTATTTAACCCAAAAAGGTGTTTTGTAAATTTACGCAGAATTCACGGTTGACAGGATAAACTTAACCAGTTTGTTACCAACCTAAAACTTGTATTCAAATGAGAAATACATCTAAGAAAGGAAAAAGTGAAAAAATGATCTCAAAATTACAAATGTGAACGCTTTAAAATATTAAAATTGAGAGTTCCAAAACTATTGTGAAAGTACATGGTTTTAATGTTTATGAATTTTAATCAGCTGATATAAACCGGTTGTCAGATGATTTGACTGATAAACAGCTGACTTTTACTGATTTTCAGCTGATTTTTACTGATTTTCAGCTGCAATTTTTACTGATGTTTAGCTGATTTGATTATTAATCAGCTGTTTTACTGATGTTTAGCTGATTTGACTAGTCATCAGCTGTGTTGATTGATTAACAGCTGATATGTATTGACAAACATCTGATATCAGATGTTTGTAAATAAGATGGTGACGAGGTGAATGACCAAAATGTTTAGTCTGGTGATAAATCTCCCTGTTCTAGCCGCAGTATCGGCAGTTAATCTGGAGCACCATTATGTAAGGTAAAAGAACATTTTATTCGCATTAGTTACAGAGAGAACCAGAATAAAAAGACGACTTTTACCCTAAATTTATGACTTTAACAACGAGACACAGCAATTGTACTGTCTAAACTGCAGACCCATTTTACTTAATTAGTGATTTAATAAGTTACTGTAAAACTACTTGCTTTGTAACAACATCAAATGCACTTAAGAATTGCGTTAATGTCGTCTTCCTATTCTACAGTTTTCTGGTTCTTACTGTATTACTTAAACATATTGTTTCTCAACTTTTCTCGTGCGATATTAATAATAATATGATGTATTCCAACCTATTTTACCAATATACTTTTTTATCTATTGACGCTATTATCAATAAGTCCAAAGGTATTCAATATGCGGAAACATTTCTCTATATTTTCGTAATAAAACAACTTTTAGACCTGGTCCTTGTCGAATGTTTAAACAGTCAGTTTTGACTTTTTCTAACCTAAGACATTTCAATATTTTAAATCTAAAAAACTTCCAGATTTAAAAGTTTTAGTTCACTTGAGTGGTTTATTTAAAAGTTTGGACCTTCTTTGATTAAAATTTTAAATGTTTAAAAAATATAATTTGTTTAGTAAATGTTGCCCCGGATCATTCATTCTTGACAGTACAGGGAATAATTGCGTTGAGGGGGGAAATAAAGATATAATTTTCCCCCCTCCCTTCACTGTTCTTTATAAAGGTAATAAATATACATATTTAATTTAAGTATCATTATTTCTTTTTACTCCAAGAGACTGTGAACCTCAAATTTACACTTTCATCTGAGCTGGGAACTTTGGAATCTTGGATATCGAGATCAAAGCTTGATCCTCTCTTTTTCTTAATCTCGAGACTAACCTGATCTTGCACTTGTATCCTGAAAACTGTATAAAATTCAACCAAACAGAGTCATGTGTATGAAGCCGGGAAATTTGAAATTTTGTGCACCATTTAAGATTAATATATAAAAACGGAAGAGACTCTCTAATTTTGAAAACCGGTTTTTGTTTCTTCTGTACTTTATCCAAAAAACAGTGGATTAAGCAAGAAATTAAAAGCGTCCACATTGAATAATGGATTAAGCAGTCGGGATTAAAGTTCCCAGCTCTGAGCAGCAAAATTGAGAAAAATTTAATCCTGCCCAAAAAATTCTTCGATTCTCAAATGTATGTTAGGGGGGACAGAAAAATCAACCCTATCTTTATACCTTTCTAATTTGAAAATTATCAATTTTTAGCTAGAAAACAAGAATATCTTAGAAATTTTGGCTTCTTTGTTTTGTGATTTCCTCTGTTTATATTAAGGGTTACTTTAAAGAATGTTAAAACACTGTTAAGAAGAGTATAACTAAAATAAAAGAATTGAATTGGAATTTCTAAAATTTCACATATTTTACTTAAAGGAAATGAGTCTTTGCCACAAACTTAAATGTTCTAATCCCTAAATATTTTCCATCCGATGGTGCAAACCTTAAGTTTTTTAAACTTACATCATCTGATCTAACAGAATTCATAGTTTGAAATATCTAAGGTCTACTACAATGGGATGCAAAGATATAGAGATTAGAAAATTTGAGCTTGTTGCACAAACTCAATTCCTTTATTGTGTTTGTAATGAGAAAATGAGAAAAAAAAACTTTAAACAATATAAAACGCATTCTTAAAAAAACGTTTTATAGAAAACTACGTTATAAATTAAAAATGGAGTTTTTTATGTCTATTAGACATTTATTAGACATTTTATTTTAGATGAATATATGACCAGTAGTGAATATGCTGTTACACGAGGGGATTTTATTTTAGATGAATATATGACTAGTAGTGAATATACTGTTACACGAGGGGATTTTATTTTAGATGAATATATGACTAGTAGTGAATATGCTGTTACACGAGGGGATTTCATGGGAAAATGCAGGTAAAATTTTTAAACTCAAATTATCCTAAATATTTTAATTTTGATATTTTTTCCGCAGATCTAACAAAATAATAATTATACATGTTTATTTTACGCAAATTTGAAAAGTTTCTTATGCTCAGGGGTTTATAAAGGATTTTCTAGGGAGTGGGGGGGATTTATTTTGCCCCCCCCCCCCCTCGGAAAAGAGGACACAATTGTTTTAAATATGTGGAATTTGAAGGAAAACCAAGATTTTGTTGGAGTTTGATTTTCAGATTCGAATGCTTCGCCCCCCTTTTACGCCTTTGTGTCTAATTTTCTTTTTCGCCTAAATTGAATACTTTAATCCTTGGAATTGTTAGATTTTCCCGCTCATTTAATTTTAAATAAGATCTGCATAAACAGAGGAACCCACAGCACAAATATTCTAAAATGACAAACTCTAAAATATGCAGTGATAACCAGAAAACTCTGAAATAGGATGACAAACTTAAATTATGACTTTAGATAGTCCAATGAGCACGGGAAACAGAAATTATTCAGTGTAAACAGACCCATTTCATTTGATTTGTAATTTTTTAAGTGTCTCGTAAAATTATTTTCTTTATAACAACATCAAATACACTTATGTGTTGCTAAAAGTTGTCTACCTATTTCAGAGTTTTCTGGTTTTGACTGTATTTATTTCGAAATACTTTTACATCAAATAAAGATTTGTAAATAAAGTAATATTAATTGTCTCTAAAGTCTGATAGTTTTTATGATCACCCTGTATTAAATCCTTTGTTTGGGGAATTAGGCTCGAAAATTCAAATTTGGGGAAAATACCAAATTATTCAAATTCAAGTTTGTGATGACGGAAATAATGGGCAATTGGAGATTTTTCAGACAAGGGGAGGAGTGTCTTTTTATATATATATATATATATATAAAGTCGTAATTCCTGTTTGGATGTTTTTTTGTTTGTGCATGTACGATCCTAACTCATAGACCGTTTGACTGATTTGTCGCAATTATTTTTTGGGAAACACGGTAGAACTACATGGTCTACATAGATGTTTTCAGCTTGGTTTAAAAAGAACTCCAGTTTGGTTTAAAAAGAACTCCAGTTTGGTTTACAAATTCTAAGTTGAGTACGTGGGTTGTTTTTTTGGCAAAGCTGGGTTTTCAAGCTCGTAAATATTAATAGTAGTTGACTCTGTTTGGGTACATGTTTGTTTGTTTGTTGGATCATAACTCATGAACCCCTTGACCGATTTGAGGGGGAGCAGTTGACTCTGTTTGGGTACATGTTTGTTTGTTTGTTGGATCATAACTCATGAACCCCTTGACCGATTTGAGGGGGAGTAGTTGACTCTGTTTGGGTACATGTTTGTTTGTTTGTTGGATCATAACTCATGAACCCCTTGACCGATTTGAGGGGGAGTAGTTNAAGGGGGGGGGGGGGGGGGGGGGGGGGGGGGGGGGGGGGGGGGGGGGGGAGAGTATGAAATAATGGAAAAGAAAAAGGAAGATTTGATTCTAAATCATGGATTGTAATTTAGTTTCTTAATCTTGAAAGAGATCTATATGTAAGACCATGGTTTTGGATGAACATTTTTTTATTATAATTGTATGTCAATGATTTTATTATAATTGTATGTAAATGGTTTTTAATATAATTGTATGTCAATAATTTTTAATATAATTGTATGTCAATAATTTTTGTTGTTTTCTCTCAATATCTTTCCAGTATAAATGTAAGGACGGCAATACAAGACGTTTATAGCAGAGGATAATAGAAAATTTAAGTTGTCAGCATTCCTTTATCTCATATATTTTAACCTACAGTTCTTTCTAATTTATGTAAAAATGACCTTAACACAGTTCTTGGCAGAAATTTATTTTCTATTGCAAATGATTGTTCTGTAAATCGGATCTTGTAAAATGTTAGTTAAGAAACAAATGAAATATTTTGATGTCCCATTGGAACATGAATGGAAAGTTCCGGTTTTACAAGAATGAATAATTTCTATGTTGAAGGATTCGATGATTACGTAATAACTGTAATGATAAATATGTTATGTATGTAATGAGTAATGACCAATGTCGTCTATTTTGTGCATAATTTTGCATATTTTTTTTCTATTTTGACACCTTTATTTTCAAAAATTTATTTAAACAAATTTAAACTACACCATTTATATATGTATTTATATCTTTGTGTGTGAATAAATCTTTATAATAATAATATTCACCAAGAAGCAGAATTTCTTGGCAATTAACTTCAAAATAGTTTATTTTTTATTTTTTCAGCATTCTAAATATGATTTATTTAACAATATTTACAAAATAACAAATAAAATATTATTTAGTTAACAATATTGACAAATTAACAAATAAGAATATGATTTAATTAACAATATTCACAAATTAACAAATAAGAGTATGATTTAATTAACAATATTCACAAAATAACAAATAAAATATTATTTATTTAACAATATTGAAAAATTAACAAATAAGAATATGATTTAATTAACAATATTCACAAAATAACAAATAAAATATTATTTATTTAACAATATTGACAAATTAACAAATAAGAATATGATTTAATTAACAATATTTACAAAATAACAAATAAAAATGAATGACGAAATTATTCATCCAAAACAAAATATCAATTTGATTCATTTTCGAGGAAAAATATCGCTAGAATCACTCCAGAAGGGGCTGATACATTTGTAGTCCAGTTCCATTTTCTCCATTTTCGAACAAAAATATCGCTAGAATCACTCCAGAAGGGGCTGATACATTTGTAGTCCAGTTCCATTTTCGAACAAAAATATCGCTAGAATCACTCCAGAAGGGGCTGATACATTTGTAGTCCAGTTCCATTATCGAACAAAAATATCACTAGAATCACTCCAGAAGGGGCTGATACATTTGTAGTCCAGTTTCATTTTGCCATATATTTAGTCTGTACTGTGTGCACTGTATGCGCTTGCTTACATTTGTTAAATGAACAGCAATATTGTTATTCCATGATTTAGGTCATAAATGAGAATATATTAATAATACTTATAGTGAAGAAAAATAATCTGATGAGAACCCTCTCTTATCACGTTCAGGGAAAACACACTCGAAAATATCTCAGCAGTGATATAGGGTCAATATTCAATACCATTTGTTTTCCTTAATCTTAATGTTCTTAACACCTTTTTACCAACCTTACCGGCCTATGATTCCCCCCAAATTCAACCAGCTTATCAAGTTAAAAAACAGAGTCGACTTTGAAGTGTCACAACGCCTTGGGCTTACATTTTATCGCTCTAACTCACTTTTCTGTAGCCCTTTACATGTACATTTTTTCACTTTAAAGTAAAGTATCCATAAATCCTTTCATTATTTTAATACAGAGATTTATGGACACTTTATTATAATACAGGGATTTATGGACACTTTATTATCATACAGAGATTTATGGAAACTTTATTATAATACAGTAATTTACGGACACTTTATTATAATACAGAGATTTATGGACACTTTATTATAATACAGGGATTTATGGACACTTTATAATAATGCAGGGATTTATGGACACTTTATTATAATACAGGGATTTATGGACACTTTATAATAATACAGGGGTTTATTGACACTTTATTATAATACAGAGATTTATGGACACTCTATTATAATACAGAGATTTATGGACACTTTATTATAATACAGGGATTTATGGACACTTTATTATAATACAGGGGTTTATGGACACTTTAATATAATACAGGGGTTTATGGACACTTTATAATAATACAGAGATTTATGGAAACTTTATTATAATACATGGATTTATGAACACTTTATTATAATACAGAAATTTATAGACACTTTATTATAATACAGAGATTTATGGAAACTTTATTATAATACATGGATTTATGAACACTTTATTATAATACAGAGATTTATGGACACTTTATTATCATACAATAATTTACGGACACTTTATAATAATGCAGGGATTTATGGACACTTTATAATAATGCAGGGGTTTATTGACACTTTATCATAATACAGAGATTTATGGACACTCTATTATAATACAGAGATTTATGGACACTTTATTATAATACAGGGATTTATGGACACTTTATTATAATACAGGGGTTTATGGACACTTTAATATAATACAGAGATTTATGGACACTTTATAATAATACAGGAATTTATGGACACTTTACAATAATACAGAGATTTATGGACACTTTATTATAATACAAGGATTTATGGACACTTTATTATAATACAGAGATTTATGGAACACTTTATTATAATACAGGGATTTGGTTAACAATTGTATTGTCATGAGGCAATAAAATTTAACAAACGTACTTTTAAGAAAAGTTTTTTATTGATGGACAAGCATTTTGTAATTGGAAGTTGTCAGTTCTTTATATATTGATAAATTGTTAAAGTTAAACAATAAATTATCAGATTTTTAATATTAAACTTTTTATATTAATATTTTTTAATATTAAACTAATATTTTAGTTTAGGACAAGTTGAAGTGAAAAGAGTCGATATTTTATCAACGGACGGCAGGTCATTTTTTCATTAACTTTCAAATATTAAAATTATTAAAATAAATTATTTTAAAAAAATACCTTAGACGCAAAAAAGTTAAAAGAGGCTGGGTGCCGTTGTAGTTTTGGGAGACTCAAATTTTACAGAGGGTGGGGGGGTCCGATTTACAACGTTACCCTATTAACATTTATTTGATCAATGTTGTGGAATATATAGTCGTTTTTCTAGCTTAAAAAATGTTTTATTTCATATTTTTTTCTCCGTTGTATAAAAGAGGATTACTGAAAATGACAACATCAGTTGCCTGAATTTCGTCGCACTTCGCTTCCCTCTGGAAAATATCATTAGCCGCCCCTGATTGTACAGAGAAACTTACATGGCGGCCATTTCTTGAACATAGGTCTTTTAAGATTATAGAAAGAATAATTGATTTGATATTAAAGATCCACCTGTCAAAACGTTTCTATAAGTCTAGTCATCAATGATCTTTTATCATTTAAAGAGAAAGTAAATTATTTTATAAATTTTCAAGTTAAAGTTTCACAGTGAAAGGTGCAAAGAAGGACTGTGTTTCGATACACATATTCGATATATATACATGTATACATATATATATTTATATTATATATATATTATATCTACAAAATGTTTCATGGGTCTAACCCAATCATCAGTTGGAATAAAACTGATACTGGAGCATTTTTTACAATGATTTTATGGATTTTTGCAGAATATGATAAAAATTGTTTTACACATTTAAAATGATACATATTGTTTTACTTAAAAAATCTTTTTGGAAAAAATCTTTTTGAAAAAAAATCTTCTTGAAATGGCAGTTCATAAGTTTCTTCTCTTGTTTACTTCTCCTCAGGTCTAGTAACATTTACTAAGTAGAAATTTCTCTTGGTGCCTGCACTTGTTCATTACTTCGCTTCTTTTATTCAATAGGTTTACAAAAAACTTGTATATTGTTATCTGAGGATGTAAACCTATTGAGGATTGTAAACCTATTAAATTGATTGATTTCTGTATTTTAGATATCTTGTAGGGGAGCTAAAGAATGGAAGTCAGTATTTAGAGGATTGGGAATATTATGACTGCGCGGATTTTCTAATTGAAGACGACATATTTCATCTTGTAATCGTCAAATGCGAAGGAGGTACAGTTGCTAAAATCATGATTGTAAAGCTTTTGAAATTTTACACTAAATTCAGTGGTAAACATGTTTTTTTCGGAATTTTGAATCATTCTATGTAAATTTCAATTAAAATTTTCTTTTAAAATGAATGATAAGATAAAAATTGTATTTTTTAAATGAGAAAAATAAGGTTGAAAACACTTAGTAAAAGTACAATTTGCGACGTTTCCTTTTTTATTTTGATGAAACAGATCAAAACCAACTACACTATTTTCAACACTTCAAAAATTAAATAATTTTTAAAAAAATTTTATACTTTTCAGTTGGAAACCTGGGATGTCTGGAAAGTACTTGTATTCAGAAATGCTGCCCGTTTGGATTTTCTTTAACAAGTAAATTTTTATTAAAATCTTTAACAAGAAAATTTTTTTAAAAAACTTAAACATGTAATTTTTATCAAAATCTTTAACAAGTAATTTTTTAAATCTTTAACAAGTAAATTTTCATCAAAATCTTTAACAAGTAAATTTTTATTAAAATCTTTAACAAGTAAATTTTTATTAAAATCTTTAACAAGTAATTTTTTTTATTAAAATCTTTAACAAGTAAATTTTGTATTAAAGTCTTTAACAAGTAAATTGTTATTAAATCTTTAACAGTAAATTTTTATCAAAATCTTTAACAAGTAAATTTTTATTAAAAATCTTTAACAAGTAAATTGTTATTAAAATCTTTAATAAGTAAATTTTTATAAAAATCTTTAACAAGTAATTATTTTATTAAAATCTTTTTTTTATTAAAATCTTAAACAAGTAAATTTTTATTAAAATCTTAAACAAGTAAATTTTTATTAAAATCTTTAACCAGTAATTATTTTATTAAAATCTTTTACAAGTATCTTTTTTATAAAAATCTTTAACAAGTAAATTTTTATTAAAATCTTTAACAAGTAAATTGTTATTAAAATCTTCAACAAGTAATTTTTTTATTAAAATCTCAATTGTTTGGTCCAGGTTTAACTGATTGTTTGGTTCAGGTTTAACTGATTGTATGGTTCAGGTTTAACTAATTGTTTGGTTCAGGTTTAACAGATTGTTTGATTCAGGTTTAACTGATTGTATGGTTCAGGTTTAACTGATTGTTTGGTTCAGGTTTAACAAATTGTTTGGTTCAGGTTTAACTGATTGTATGGTTCAGGTTTAACTGATTGTTTGGTTCAGGTTTAACTGATTGTTTGGTTCAGGTTTAACTGATTGTATGGTTTAGGTTTAACTGATTATTTGGTTCAGGTTTAACAAATTGTTTGGTTCAGGTTTAACTGATTGTATGGTTCAGGCTTAACTAATTGTTTGGTTCAGGTTTAACAGATTGTTTGGTTCAGGTTTAACTGATTGTTTGGTCCAGGTTTAACAGATTGTATGGTTCAGGTTTAACAGATTGTTTGGTCCAGGTTTAACAGATTGTTTGGTTCAGGTTTAACTGATTGTTTGGTTCAGGTTTAACTGATTGTATGGTTTAGGTTTAACTGATTATTTGGTTCAGGTTCAGTTTCAGGTTCAGGTTCAGGTTCAGGTTTAACTGACTATATATGGTTCAGGTTTAGGATGTGTGGAGGAGGAGCAAATGGATTATAAACCAACATCTTTAATTCTAACTTATTATAATGGATCAGAGGTAAACAAAGGAATTATATTGGATCAGAGGTGAACTAAGGGATTATAATGGATCAGAGGTAAACTAAGGGATTATAATGGATCAGAGGTAAACAAAGGAATTATAATGGATCAGAGGTAAACTAAGGTATTATAATGGATCAGAGGTAAATAAAGGAATTATAATGGATCAGAGGTAAACAAAGGAATTATAATGGATCAGAGGTAAACTAAGGGATTTTAATGGATCAGAGGTAAACAAAGGAATTATAATGGATAAGAGGTAAACTAAGGGATTATAATGGATCAGAGGTAAACAAAGGAATTATAATGGATCAGAGGTAAACTAAGGGATATAATGGATCAGAGGTAAACAAAGGAATTATAATGGATCAGAGGTAAACTAAGGAATTATAATGGATCAGAGGTAAACTAAGGAATTATAATGGATCAGAGGTAGATCAAATAATCTATGTTTGAAATACCGAATGTTTACACAATCAGGTTAATAAGATAAATTAGAAAATTCGAGTTTGTGGCAAAGACTCAATTTCTTTATTCTAAACATTTTTCAATTATTTTTTATTTTTTATCATTCTAGAGATTAAAGAAATTTAGTCATACACTTGTAAAACGATTATTTTCCTCTTTCTTTGCATGAAACAAGCTTGGGAACTCAGCTTTGCTTGGAAACTAAATTTTCGCTATCTTTTATCAACCTATTAACTTAGAATGTATCCGTGGTTTTACCAGGTTTCCCAATAAAACGAAACGTATGATGCAAATTGGTCCAGGGGAATTTTTGAGTTATGATCTGACAAAAAGTTATTACTGCTTTATATATTTTGTATATTGTTAAAATGTACACTGTACAGTGTACATCCATCTATTTATTTACAATTCTTATTTGCTTATGGGCCAACCAATCAACACAACCAACTCTGGTTAGGCGGGTCCAAACTACATAGTAAATTTTATTTGTATTATTTCGTGCTTTGTAGTTGAATAAAAATATGAAATATGAAAAATTTACGAAAAAAGAAAGAAAAAAGGGGAAAGTTATTTTATAGTTTTCTGGTTCCTCTGTATTATTTTCATAATAGATGAAAATTAACTTTATCTGATTTTTATTCTAGTCTTTATGTGAAATTCTTAAATTTTAATTTTAATTTAATCTTATTACAGGTTTTATCTCTTCAAGATGAAGTTATAAAGATAAAAACAGATTTCTACAATATTCTTTCAACTCTCAACCACAGGAATAATTCATAAATTTCAATTATAATTAATGATAAATAAACCTGTAAAATGTATAAAAATGATAAAAAGAGTAACATAGCAAATAACTTACTGAGAGAAATGTAAAAGAAAAATGAAAAACTGACAATTTTACTACTTGAAGATCGTCTTGAACAAATGAAAGTATGAATAGTGGGTGATAGTGCTCTAATGTATATCTATATATCAATAAATAATGAATAATGAATGAATTAATGAATGAATAGTACCCGTGGGTGGGAGTGCTCTGATGTATATATTCTCAATGAATAATGAATAATTAATGAATAAATGAATGAATAGTACCCGTGGGTGGGAGTGCTCTGATGTATATTCTCAATGAATAATGAATAATAAATGAATTAATGAATGAATCGTACCCGTGGGTGGGAGTGCTCTGATGTATATTCTCAATAAATAATTAATAATGAATGAATAAATGAATGAATAGTACCCATGGGTGGGAGTGCTCTGATGTATATCCTCAATAAATAATTAATAATGAATGAATAGATGAATGAATAGTACCCGTGGGTGGGAGTGCTCTGATGTATATTCTCAATAAATAATTAATAATGAATGAATAAATGAATGAATAGTACCCATGGGTGGGAGTGCTCTGATGTATATCCTCAATAAATAATTAATAATGAATGAATAGATGAATGAATAGTACCCGTGGGTGGGAGTGCTCTGATGTATATATTCTCAATAAATAATTAATAATAAATAATGAATAATAAATGAATTAATGAATGAATAGTACCCGTGGGTGGGAGTGCTCTGATGTATATATTCTCAATAAATAATTAATAATAATTAATGAATAATGAATGAATAAATGAATGAATATCGTGAGTGGGAGTGTTAGGATGAATATTCTCAATGAATAATAATTAATGAATAATGAATGAATAAATGTATGAATAGTACTCGTGGGTGGGAGAGTTCCGAAGTATAACCTTAAAAAATAATGAATAATAAATAATGAATTAATGAATGAATAGTACCCGCGGGTGGGAGTGCTCTGATGTATATATTCTCAATGAAAACGAGTTTAATATTCTTCTCAATGGAAGTTTACATCATCTAGAGTTCGAGGTATAAATATCCTAGATCCTAGATCCTAGATCCTAGATCCTAGATCCTAGATTCTGATACTAGATCCTAGATCCTAGATTCTAGATTCTAGATTCTAGATCCTAGATTCTAGATTCTAGATCCTAGATCCTAGATCCTAGATTCTAGATTCTAGATTCTAGATCCTAGATCCTAGATCCTAGATCCTAGATTCTAGATCCTATACCCTTGATCCTAGATCCTAGATCCTAGATCAGAATTCAAAGCTTGAAGTTTCTCTAAGGCCTACGCCATTAGGTTTGTGGTAAAAACGCAATTCTTTTAGATTTTGTGAATAATGTTTTTGTATCTACACGCTACAATTCATATTTGCATATTTAATAACGAAATGCGGTGACAAATATTTTACTAAAAAGCATAAATATTTGTAGATTCACATCATCTACACAACTTTTCCATTTTATAATTGAACAAAATATGGCTTTCAGTAAACCCACCTTTACCTAGCCAATATATATCTTTTCAAACAGAAACATTTAAATTCTAAATTGTGAAAAGTATAAAAATGTAAATATTAACAAATTATAAAACTGCTATAGTACTTAGCTTGTACCGGTATAGTGGGAATCAGACTTTGGGACTTTTTAAGCATTTCCTACGCCAATAACTTGCGTTTTTTACGTAATTTGCCGCAAGAAATACATAACTTTATTATCTTTTTACATAAACTTTATCTTAAAACAGATTGCAATGTAATTGGTTTTAAAAAAATTGGCAACTTAAAACCAAGGTTTTTTCGGGCTTTGCTCACGTTACTGGACTAAAATTCTGCTCTAGACTATAACAAAACTATACTTAATGACATCTAACAAATTTTGTTTTAAAATATGTGGTAATTTTTCCTACAAATGATTGCATGTCGTCTTCTTTCCTTATTCCAAGGGACTGTAAGTGACCCTCTATGCTAAGTTTGTATACTAAGATTAGATACTCTGGTTGTAATAACAATGTCGTCTTCATAACACTGGACACTCAAAATCCTAATATGACGTAACTGATTATTGGCGGAAGCTGAAGTGATAATGTCGATTGTGAGAGGGGGAAGGAGTTTTTACAGATGGCAACCGGAGAAAATCCTTCCCCCCCCCTCTCATCAACAGCGTTGTCACTTTAATACATTGGAGCGTTCTAACCTTATTATACAACCTTGCTCTATGCAAAGATGACAAAACCTTATTATACAACCTTGCTCTATGCAAAGAGGACAAAACCTTATTATTCAACCTTGCTCTATGCAAAGATGACAAAACCTTATTATACAACCTTGCTCTATGCAAAGAGGACAAAACCTTACTATACAACCTTGCTCAATGCAAAGATGACAAAACCTTATTATACTACCTTGCTCTATGCAAAGAGGACAAAACCTTATTATACAACCTTGCTCAATGCAAAGATGACAAAACCTTATTATACAACCTTGCTCTATGCAAAGAGGACAAAACCTTACTATACAACCTTGCTCAATGCAAAGATGACAAAACCTTATTATACTACCTTGCTCTATGGAAAGAGGACAAAACCTTATTATTCAACCTTGCTCTATGCAAAGATGACAAGACCTTATTATACAACTTTGCTCAATGCAAAGAGGACAAAACCTTATTATACAACCTTGCTCTATGCAAAGAGGACAAAACCTTTTTATACAACCTTGCTCTATGCAAAGAGGACAAAACCTTATTATACAACCTTGCTCTATACAAAGATGACAACAATACCCTTAAAAGCTTTGTCTGACCAAGGTTTCTCGGCAAAAGTGACTTGCGCATTTCTTGCTTATACGATCATATTTGATCAGATTAGGGTTTCATTCAAGAGTTGTAAAGAAGATATCAGTCCCTTTATAAAAAGTATTGTTAAATCTAAAAGTCTGTAAAGACCAAAAACATAACCTTTCCCAGCTTTTAGACTAAAGGAGGAAATGAAGACGACAATCATTGTTACAATTGTATTATTTAGATAACTGATGTGTACTGTTGTTACGTATTATTTAGATAACTGATGTGTACTGTTGTTACAATTGTACTATTTAGATAACTGATGTGTACTGTTGTTACAATTGTACTATTTAGATAACTGATGTGTACTGTTGTTACATATGTACTATTTAGATAACTGATGTGTACTGTTGTTACAATTGTACTATTTAGATGACTGATGTGTAATGTTTTTACCATTGTACTATTTAGATAACTGATGTGTAATGTTTTTACCATTGTACTATTTAGATAATTGATGTGTACTGTTGTTACAATTGTACTATCTAGATAACTGATGTGTACTGCACTGACACTTATGATACTGGAAACGGAACTAGAGAACTATTTTTAGTCAGGTAGGTTAATAATTCGAAATTCGAAACTTTTTAAAAAAATTTTATAATTATTTCTAAGACTGCTGGACATTTCCAATAAATGTTTTTTTATACTTTTTTCAATAGATGTAATTTTTTGTTGAAAATATGGGTTTTTGCATTTTTACATTACATTACATATTAGCTTTTAAATTGTATGATAAAAAATGTTTTCATATTTTTCTCAATGGCTGTTTTTTTTTGTATTTTCTCAATAGATCAGAAAATCGTAAGATTTATTACTTTTTATTCTATTGCGGCCATATTTGTCAAATAAATCAAAATATATTGCTTGCACCTAAATCTTTATTAAACATAACATGGAAAACTTTATCTTTATTTTAAATGAATATTTGTAGCCGGCCTCTATTATATTCCGCGTATATAGATTTGGTCCCTTTTGGATTTAACCTGCTACCAACAGGGGGGGAGGGAAAAGGGGAGGTGCTCCTGGAAAATTGGGGCGATGCCCCCCCCCCCCGTGTGTTCCAGAGAGAAAAAATGCTTGTTAGGCTTTTTAAATTTTGAATTATAAATACTAAAACCATAAAACAAACACTGTAAATAATCACCTTGAAACCACTTTGAAACCACCTTGAAACCACCTAAAGTCCAACTAAAAATTATCTAAAAGTAAGATAAAAACCATCTAATTATAAGCTAAACCCTACTTTAAAACCAACCTAACAACCTCCTAACAACCACCTAAAAACCATCTAACGACCACTTAACAACCACTTAACAACCACCTAACAACCACCTAACACCCACCTAAAAACCTCCTAACAACCACCTAACAACCTCCTAACAACCACCTAAAAATCACCTAACAACCTCCTAACAACCACCTAACAACCACCTAACAACCTCCTAACAACCGCCTAAAAACCACCTAATAACCTCCTAACAACCACCTAAAAACCACCTAACAACCTCCTAACAACCACCTAAAAACCACCTAACAACCTCCTAACAACCTCCTAACAACCACCTAACAGCCTCCTAACAACCACCTAACAACCGCCTAACAACCTCCTAACGACCACCTAAAAACCACCTAACAACCTCCATACAACCACCTAAAAACCACCTAACCAACCTCCTAACAACCTCCTAACAACCACCTAACAACTACCTAACAACCACCTAACAACCACCTAACAACCTCCTAACAAACACCTAACAACCACCTAACAACCCCATTAAACTTCACCTAAAACCCACATAATAACCCACCAATAAAAACAACATAAAAACCTCCATTAAAAAATCACATAAAACCCCTGAAAAGCATCTAATAACCACCTAAATATTAACTAAAATTTTTATTTTTATTGTGCAGATGTGTAGCAGAGGTTGAAGAAGAAAAGAAATATTTAGCTGATCCTGCTTGGGAGAATAGGAGGTAATTATTCTTCGCTAAAATCCACTATTTATTCGGTCAAAGTACTGCAGTACGGTGATATAGTACTGCAGTACGGTGATATAGTACTGCAGTACGGTGATATAGTACTGCAGTATGTACCGAAAGCTTTATTTTTTAAAATAAAAATAATTAACATTTTAGATGGAGAGTTTATTTATTTTATAAGTGCAGTAACTGTATTGTAATAAAAGAAATATCTGATTTATCAGAATTATTCTAGATATAAGTCAAACTTAAATATTTTTTATAAAACTATTGTGTACTTTATCATTCTTACTCACTTCATCGTAGATATTATAATGAACGTGCTATAAAGTAATCATTGTACTATAAAGTTAAATTAGCTGTATACAATATAGCACGTGTGCTATAAAGTTTTGATTGGTTCCCGAATTTTTTCTCCAAAAAATGTAAGATATTTCCAAAATAATTTTTTCCAATTGAAATGAAAATAAAATTGAAATCAACTTTATTTTTTTTACTTCTGCTTTGTTTCAAAGCTTATTTTATCTAGAAATTGAAATAAGACAAGTACACAAACGTTTAAAAAAATTACTTATAGTACTGTTATTTTGGCACGACGTACTTTAAAGTTTTTGGACTTAAATTTTATTTATATCTCGAAGATATAAAGCTCGGGACCAAATTAAATCTAAATCTAATCGAAAAAGAGAAAATTTCTGTCCAAAAACTTTTAACACTGTGAACCAAAATACCAATCTTATAAATAGTTAAAACGTAAAAAAAAATTTATTAATTTTTAATTAAAGTAATAAAATCAATTTTCTAAAGAAGAATTTATTTTTTACAATAGAATCTTTATCGTACAAAAGAATAAGAATGAACATGATAAAATTGTTAAAAAAAAATGGAAACCTCATTGTTACATTGAATTCAATGGGAAAATTAACCACAAATTCAACAGCTTAATTGAAGAAAAAAAGGATGAAACTTTTATAATTAATTTATAAAGATTTCAGATTTTTCTTTAGTTTTTAATCTTTTAAACAATTTGGTGTTTGAAAATTTCAACTTTTATAAAAGATAAGCTTATACCTGAAAATTAATTTTTGAACATTTCATGTTATTCATTCTTCAAAAAAACTGATCAAAATAACTAGCTGTCGTCTTCTTTATGTTCTAGGATGACGACAGAAACAGAAAATCCGGGAAATATTAAGAAATATACTTCAATCACTATCGTTACGTCCATAATCTGATCAAAAATCTTGCTTATCACTCAAAATATAAATATTTTTTGAAAAAATAAAGTTTTAAAATGTTTAGGATGATGAGACTGATTCATATTGTTCTAATTAGTATTAGTCTACTTGCAATTTTTGCAACATTAGTAGGTAAATACTTTATATATTATTTTAAGATATAATTATTTTTATATTTCATTTACATTAGACACGCGAAGGGTAAGAATTATAATGCACATTTGACTGTAATGTATGAGGACGTATGAGGAGTTACTTTACGTCCCTTGGGACAAATAAGTAAAATAACGACCTCGGAGAAAGGTTAGAGTAACGACCTGCTCTGTGAAGTTTTCGTGAAAAATTCGCGCATTTTCATCTAAAAATTGTGTACAACTACTTTTCGGGAAATTGATAATTTTACTTAATCACAGGTTCCCTCGACCAATTTTGCCTGCAAAATGTGACATTCCCTTAATTTCCCTGTAAAGTTGTTGTAAATAATTAAAACCAGTATCTGAGCTCTTCTAATTCGTCACAGTAAAATGTACACAACTCCTATATCTTACCTTCAGGACTTTACAAATAACTTGGGAACAAAGTGGAATAATTGTCAGAAAATTATGTTGAGCTTGATCTTATGATCTTAATATCCAATGATCCCGAAATTCACAACACAAGATCTGACTTTGAAGGCCATTTAAGAAAATGATAGTTAATATTTAAAAAAATTTGATCTATGTAAATATTTAATTTATTTTTGTTTAGTTTACTTGATTCTACCAGATTTACAGAACCTTCACGGCAAAATTATTATCAGGAAAAAAAAACTATTTTTAAAAACAAAAATAAAAATTTGATCAAAATTTGTTTCATTATTTTTCCAAAAATAAATGTATGAATGAAAATGTTAAACAGATGAAAAATCTCTTAATTTTATAAACTATCAAAAATTCCTAAAAGCAGGTTTTAAAAAAGTTAATTTTCTAGTAACTTGGTGGCTATGGGACTAGTTTACTTGTTTCTAATTGTCAATCATTCTACACCCTTGGATACTATATCAATACCACTGTGCATAGGTACAGTATATAGGCCTGTGCAAAGATCATTTTTTGTAATTTATTTAATTTCTGTGAAGTTCTATTAAGTTTTTGAGTGATTTGAGTCACATATATTTTAGAATTTTAGACGAAAAACTGGAGAAAAAAATTTGCGTTTTGGGGAAATCAAATAAATATCTAGAAATTATTTTAAAAAATTTTAAAAAAATATGTGATTATTAAAAAATGTATATATAGGTGTAGGGTATACAGGATACTGTTCGATACTCTGTATGATTGTATGGATGACAACAATGTGCGCTGACCTTTGCTGGACTTTTTCAAGGAAAATATCAAACTTTTTAATAAAAAAATTCATAGTTTTTTTAAACATGTTTAGCATTTTACATTAATTAATCCTTCGGTGAACCGATTAAAAAAATGTATTTAATATCATTTTTTGCAGTAAAGTATACAGCTAGATACTCTGTCACACTTTTTGTAAATTTTTAAAATATATTTCCCCCCCCCCCATTTCCAAAATTTAAGAAAATCTAAATTTGATGCAAACTTTTCAAATCTGATTGATGATGAACCTACCCTGGGACCATGACTAATGGTTAGGTCTCAGAAAAAAATTGGGCCCAATCGGTTCAACCGCTTTAAAGCAAAATTAATATTGATGCATTTTAATTAGTTTAGTTTGATATATTTCCTGTTTGACTTAGGGCTAAAATACCTGTCCATGAAACTGAAAACAAAAAATTCCTCATTTACAGGAAAAAAATATATTCATTTGTTTTTTTTCTAAATATGTTCGCGAAAATGAAAAAAGATTTTAAGTAAAGAAAAAAAAATAATATATTTTAATATATTTTCAGTATTATTTCATGGGGTGTTCCAGTTGTAGGTAAACAAGTATGAAATAATAATAATAATGATAAAAATAATATATTTTGTCTGACCGAATTAAATAAGATATCCATGATTTCTCAGTTCTCTTTAAAAATTTGGTTATTTTCAATTGTGGTTTCTCAACAATGTTTTAAACAATGTTAATAAATTAGAAATAGAATTTTAAATTCAAATCGATTTTTGATAATGTTCAATAATAATTAATAATATAACATTTTAAAAATGATAATTAATAATAATAGTATAAACAATGATAAAAATAGTAATATTAATAATGATATCAATTATAGAAAACTAAACGATTTGTAATAACAAAAACATGAGAATTATAATATAAATGTAAAAGAAAAAAAATATGTCTAAGAATATAAAAACTAAATAAAAACAATTATATATTTAGGAACTATTGCTCTGTTTTTGTTCCAAGTTTATCTACCAGAATCTTCAAAACTAAATCCAAGGGTTGGACATTTTCAAGGTTTGTTTCATTTAGGATTAGGGGCCCACACAGTCATAAAAATTGTGCATCAATTTTCAAAACCGACTTTGGTGATAACTTACAAAATCACTCGACATAGTGTAGTCCTAGACATATTATCTATAAAATGATTGTTCTAGCTTTAGTTTAATTTGAAAGGAGTAATTGTGAAATTTTGATTTTAGCATATTTTTGTTCGCTGTGAGTCCAGCATTTTTATCAAACACTCCAGAAATATTAAAGCTAGAAAACATGCTTTAGTCAGCGCAGTGTTGTGACGTATTAAACCGCTGGCTCAGTCATTCATTGAAAAGAGGTAGCTGAACTACCTTCAACAAGTTATCCAGTGCTCACTGGCTCAAATCCTTAATACTGATTTTAAATTAAAAATGTTGAACACACCAAATGTGGAGTCAGCTGATGCAGACAAGAGTACAAGAATTCCAACCAATCAGAGCGCCGGAGTTACCGGGTTCATTAATCTATTGGCTGAAACAGAACTCGGCACTCTGGAATAGGAAGACGACTTCAAGACTCAAGTTATGACTTTAAATAGTCCAATGAACATGAGGCACAGCAATTATGCAGTAGAAACAGAGCCATTTCATTTAATAAGTGATTTAATAACTTACTAGTAAAGCTATTTGCTTTATAACAACATAAAATGTACTTAAGTATTGCTTTAATGTCTTCTTTATATGTCTTCTTTATAATGTCTTCTTTATTTTCTGATCATCACTGTACAATAGTTAAAAAAAAATTAACTTCAGGGTAAATTGAACCAACAATAATAGTTACATGGTTGATCAATTCATTAAATCCCAGATTAAATGAAAAAACAATAACAATGATTTTAAACAATATCACAAATAAAAAAAAACCTATGTGCTATAAATGTATTCATGGTTAAAAATGAACCAAATTTTAGGTGAATGTTTTGTTGCCAGAGCCGGAGATAGAATCAGGTATAATTCCTTATGTACCCAATGTACATACGTATCCTTGTATTTATGTACAGGCTACTGTTTTACATACCTTTCTTGTTTTATGTACAGGTTCCTATTGTACATACTTATTCTTGTATTTATGTACAGGCTACTGTTTTACATACCTTTCTTGTTTTATGTACAGGCTCCTGTTGTGCATACCTATCCTTGTATTTATGTACAGGTTTCTGTTGTAAATACCTATTCTTGTATTGATTTACAGGATACTGCTGTACATACCTATCCTTATATTTATGTACAGGCTCTGCTGTACATATCTATCCTTGTATGTATGTACAGGTTTTTTTTATAAATACCTTTCTTGTATTTATGTACAGACTCCTATTGTAAATACCTATCCTTTTATTTATGAACAGATTCCTGTTATACATACCTATCCTTGTACTTATGTACAGGCTACTGCTGTACATACCTATCCTTGTATTTATGTACAGGCTACTGCTTTACATACCCATCCTTTCATTTATGTACAGGCTCCTGTTGTACATGTCTATCCTTATATTTATGTACAGGCTCTTGTTGTACATACTTATGTTTGTATTTATGATGTACAGGCTCCTGCTTTACATACCTATTCTTGTATTTATGTACAGGATCTTATTGTTCATACCTTGTATTTATGTACAGGCTACTGTTGTGCATACTTTTACCTGTCCTTGTATTTATGTACAGGCTCCTACTGTACATACCTATGCTTGCATGTATGTACCGGCTCTTGTTGTACATACCTTTCCTTGTATTTATGTACAGACTCCTGCTGTACATACCTATCCTTGTATTTATGTAAAGGCTAATGTTGTACATACCTATCCTTGTATTTATGTACAGGCTCCTGTTGTACATACCTATCCTTGTTCTGATGATCATCAATGTATGTCTTTTCATCATAATAGTTGGATCTATTTTCATCAGGAAAGCTGGAAACTAGAATTAAAAACTTAAATCAACAAAAATTAAATAAAAACTTTTTAAAAATTTCAAAATATTTTGTCTTTCAATATGTTTCCTGCAGTAAGGTGAAAACTAGAGGAATACGGACATCTACAAGGTAAAGATACTCATATACCTAGTCCACCCATCAACCTACCCCTCGCTCCCCCAGCCCTCAACCTCCCCCTCTGGAAAATGCCTACTGAACCTCTATTTATGTATATTGTTTATAGTGGAGACTGTCCGATTTACAATGGTATCCTCTAACACCTTATCTAAGCTAGAAAGGCTGAGATATACTTATTCTTCTTTTCGAAAATTGATAATTACCATGCAATAACTATTTCTATACATGGATTTACGATATCTCACTTATAAAGAAACAGGTTTAAGGGGACCGTTTAGAATTGGTTCAGAATTAGATGGTCACAGTCCATTCAATACCCCTAGGCTGGTTATATAGTAGACCTGCTTATATTGGGGATATATAAAAATATCCTTTAGGTATATTTATAAATCCAGACTCAGACATTTAAACAAACTAATTATCTTAGTTTTTGTTTTTGTATTTTAGTCAAATTGGTTTTTTTGTGTATTTAGGCCTGAACGATGTTTGTCTATTTTCTGTATTTTTTTAGGTAGGTAACAAGGAGTTTGGAATAGAAGGGAGATACAATTGACCCGGCCCGCCCTACCATATGATTATACATATGCTTTGCAGACGGGTACACCATTTGAATAAGAAATATTTGTCTGATGTACAACTACCGCGTATACAATAACCTATTCTGAATATTTCTTATACAAATGGAGTACCGTCTGCAAAGCATGTATAATAATATGGTAGGTTAGAATTAAAAAGTACACGTTCACCTTTAGGATCGATTTGGAGCACTGTGCGTCGATAAAAGCTGACAGAGAAAATTACTTCAAGTGCAAGTAAATATTGTGTTGAGAGTATGACATAAAGCAAATGATTGAACATAGAGCACAATCATTAACTATGAAAGGATTAATATTTAAGGAGTGTCAAGAAATGAAAAGAAGGGAACAGGATAATTGTCCAAGGATGTTTATTTAAGGAGTGACAAGAAATGGAAAAATGGAACAGATTAATTGACCAAGGATGTAAATTTAAGGAGTGAAAATAAAGGAAAAGAAGGGAACAGGATAGTTAACCAAGAATGTATATTTAAGGAGTGTCAAGAAATGAAAATAAAGGAACAGGATAATTAACCAAGGATGTATATTTAAGGGGTGTCAAGAAAAGGAAAAAATGGAACAGGATAGTTAACCAAGAATTTATATTTACGAAGTGACAAGAAAGGAAAAGAAGGGAACAGGATAAAATGTCCAAGGATGTATATTTAAGGAGTGTCAGGAAAAGGAAAAATGGAACAGATTAATTGACCAAGGATGTTTATTTAAGGAGTGACAAGAAAGGAAAAGAAGGGAACAGGATAACTCAGAAAACCAAAGAACAACTGGTAAGCTACTATTAAGTTATTGTTAGGTAACCTCAGGGGCTACAGAGTTAACTTCAGGGGCTATAGAGGTAACTTTCGGGGCTATATAGGTAACTTTCGGGGCTATACAGGTAACTTTAGGGGATATATAGTTAATTTCGGGGGCTATAATTTTAGTTGCTGTAGAGTTAACTTCAGGGGCTATATAGGTAACTTCAGGGACTATAGAGTTAACTTCAGGGGGTTTCAAGTTAACTTCAAGGGCTATAGAGGTAACTTCAGGGGCTATAGAGGTAACTTCAGGGGCTATAGAGGTAACTTCAGGGGCTATAGAGGTAACTTCAGGGGCTATAGGTTTAACTTATTTGATAGTTAAAAAGTGGTTTAAAGGGTAATACGCCAGGTTTTATCTAGAGTAATTTGTTATTCTAGAAACTGTACATGGACTACTCTTTAAACTTTACATAAACTACTCTGTAAACTGTACATGAACTATTCTATAAACACTACATGAACTATTCTAGCAACTGTCCATGAAATTGTACATAAACTATTCTAGAAATTGTACATAAACTATTTTAGACACTGTACGTAAACTATTCTAGACACTGTACATGAACTATTAAAAAAACTGTACATGAATTGTTCTAGAAACTGTACATGAAATATTCTATATGAACTATCCTAGAAACTGTACATGAACTATCCTAGAAACTGTACATGAGCTATTCTAGAAACTGTACATGAACTTTTCTAGAAACTGTACATGAACTATCCTAGAAACTGTACATGAACTATTCTAGAAGCTGTACATGAACTATCCTAGAAACTGTACATGAACTATTCTATAAACTATACATGAACTATCCTAGAAACTGTACATGAACTATTCTATAAACTGACATGAACTATTCTAGAAACTGTACATGAACTATTCTATAAACTAAACTACTTTAGAAACTCTTCATGAACTATTCTAGAAACTGTACATAAACTACTTTATAAACTGTACATGAACTATCCTAGAAACTGTACATGAAATATTCTAGAAACTATACATAAACTACTTTATAAACTGTACATGAACTATCCTAGAAACTGTACATGAACTATTCTAGAAACTGTACATGAACTATTCTAGAAACTGTACATGAACTATTCTAGAAACTGTACATGAAACTGTTCCTCGTTGTTGGCCTGCTCTGGGCGGGGGAGAGTATTCATCATCTTGTACATGATCATCATTTAGACCAGGTACATGGAGTAAATGATCATCATATAGACCAGGTACATGGAGTACATGATCATCATATAGACCAGGTACATGGAGTCCATGATCATCATATAGGCCAGGTACATGGAGAACATGATCATCATATAGACCAGGTACACATGGAGAACATGATCATCATGTAGACCAGGTATATTGAGAACATGATCATCATATAGACCAGGTACATGGAGTACAGGATCATCATATAGATCAGGTACATGGAGAACCCGATCATCATATAGACCAGGTACATGGAGTACATTATCATCATATAGACCAGGTACATGAAGAACATGATCATCTAATATACCAGGTAAATGATCATCATTTAGACCAGGTACATGAAGAGTTCTACCTGGTCCCTCACGTACACGTTCATATATGTACTGTACACTGTACAAAATCGGTCATGCGGTAATATATTTTTTATTTAATGATTTGCAAGAAACCGTAGACTCTGGTTAATTTAAAGTACCGCACCGACTTTAGGAAGCTAAAAGTTGTACAGTACACTATACATACAGATATACCGGAAACGGGACAATACACAAAAGAAATTATTCTTTTTCGGTCAGATTTATACAAAGAAAATTTATAGTCCCTGAAAAAATAGCGTCCGTCAAAAATAAAAACAGGAATACCAGTTATTAAGCCGACTTGGCAGATTTCAGGGCAGGTATTTTCGTATTATTCAGTTTTATCTACTTAACAATCCAGCAACCATGATGATTTTTTTTCTTGGTTTTTAGACTGATTTTGGGAACGGTTCTGTGTCTGATATGGTTCAACACAACGGTAATTTTTGTTTTTCTTCAGACAAAAATATTTTCACTTTTAATTGTACAAAATTATTAAAAAAAAATTTCGTACAAAACCCTAATTTATCGACATAGGTTATAGAAAGGAAGATTTGTAGTCCCCCTACAGAGTTAACTTCAGGGGCTATAGAGGTAACTTCAGGGGCTATAGGTTTAACTTATTTGATAGTTAAAAAGTGGTTTAAAGGGTAATACGCCAGGTTTTATTCCCCCCTCCCCATTTAGTCGGCCCATTCTCTTTTCTTCTGGAATAAAAAATAAATGGGTTAAAACGGAATAAAATGGACTTTTTCACAAAATATTTAAAACTGCACGGAGGGGTTATAAACTTTTATAACCCCTCCATGCAACTATGGCCAAATTTTACAGATTGTTTTAAAAAAAGACGATTATTGCATATGGAATAGAACAAGAATAATCGTCCCGTAAACTTTTTTCCGAAAGTTTAAAAAAGTATTATGTTATCATTCTTGAACGTTTCCGAAAAGTTTCCGCAAGGCCCATATGAATCCAAATGGAAAAAATTGGAAACTCGAATACGATATGTCGTATTCGATATGTAGAATTCGATATGTCGAACTGTCTGTTCGATATGTCGAACTGTCTGTGGTCAATTTAGAAACGGTGGTAGGCGATTTTATCAATATAATGAAGAAGACTTTTGATTTTAATTTTGATTTATATTCAGCTTTTATACAGCATGGATACACAAAAACATGGGAACAGAGAGAAGCTGTCAATTGAAAAAGCTTCTCTTTAATTGCTTGTAAACTTGTTAATCGAAAAAAGCTTGTCAATAATTAAAACTTGAATAAAAAAGTGGTCTTCATTATAATGCTATAACCGCCTGCCACCGTAGGTCGAACACAAATTTAAGGAACAATGAACAATCTCATCCTTAATCTTCATTCATAAATATTCAGGTTTTTACTGATTTAATCTTCATTCATAAATATTCAGGTTTTTACTGGGAAAACATAGATGATAAACTGACCATATAGAAAATTTTCATCTTTAAAAACGAAATAAAAACTTTGAAAACATTTCGATACTTCATGGTCTAAACATTTAAAAAAAATACAATTAAAAGAGAAAGATTGTGTGAAAAAATGCTCAAAATTTACTTTTTTATATGTATAGAAAATAAGTTACAGTAGGACCCATAAAACTATGGAATTAGAGGCTCGACTTCTAAGCAATCTTAAATGGTTTTGATATTTTCATAAAGCAAATTTACTGCTAGTTTTAACAATCACTAATTAAATAAAATGGATGGATGGTTTATAATCAAAACTTGAGTCTAAAAGTCGCTTCCTATTCCACAGTTAATATGTCTATTTTTTTGGTACAATTTTTCAATCTTTATCTCACGAGGTTTTGTGCAATGCTGCAGTTGAACGCATTGAAAATATAAAATGTACATGTTTACTGTCAAGTGTCTGGTACAATTCCTGAATCTCCATCCCACGAAGTTCTCTTCAGCATTATTGATTGCTTGAACTTACTCAGGAAATATTCATCATTCAAACATTTTTAAATTTTTGAGAAATATCATAAAATTTAGTTTTTTTTTCTTAAAATACATTGCATTTAAAAGTTTGGTTCGTTTTTGAGGGGTTTTGAACTTTTAAAAGTTCCATATAAATCCATATAAATCTTGCAAGTTTTACAAATTTCGAAATTGTTTATTTAAACATTTTGCTTTTTTACACTATGCCCAATTTTGACACTGCGCGAAAATGTTTGCAAAAATAAACCAAAACCAAAGTAGAAATTGCAAAAATGTTATTTATACATTTTTTTTCTAAATTCAACTGATGGATTAAATGAGATTTTTTAATCTTTAGAACTCGTTTCAGAATCAACATTTGGAATTAGTAAAAGATTAGTTTAATGAGGAAGTTCAAACTTAAAATTAAAGGATAAATTTCTTGAATTTTATAAAAATGTTCAAACTATTTTCATCTAATAAGTACGACATACATTCACAAATGTATAAAATGTACTGAATGTTAAAAAGTTGTCCAAACTGTTAAGCATAGATACATTTAAGAAAAACATTTTTCTGACTTTTACCAGATAATTTTCTTTTTATAATTGAGATTTTGCTTCCAATGCGCTAAAGACCTTTTTTCAAACCTTTATTTAGAATATTTATTCTCACTCCTTTCGACGCGTTTTTTTAAAACAATTAAATTATTAATTATACTTGCTAAGTTTCGTAGGTTTCTAGGTTTCTCATTCATATCATATTAAAATAACAATATTCTTGTGGTCCATAAATTTAATTTTTGTGGTCCATATAATCTATTTTGTGGACCATAACTTCTATCTTTGTGGTCCATAAATTTTATTTTTGTGGTCCATAAATTCTAGTTTGTGGTCCATAAATTCTATTTTTGTGGTCCATAAATTCTATTTTTGTGGTCCATAAATTCTAGTTTGTGGTCCATAAATTCTATTTTTGGCGATCTGTATATGAACATAATTTGTTTGGTAATTCTATACAATAAAACCAAAAATAAACAAGTGAGAAATTCTCAGATTTCAGTTTGATAAATTATATTTAAATATGTTTTGTTACGACTACGAGCTTAGATTACGAACAAAAAGAAGAAAATTATCAAATATTGCAGCTTATGTCAAAACTAAGAAAGGAACAGAAAACCGACTATAGCTTATTTCAAAGCTATAGAAAGGAACAGAAAACCGACTATAGCTTATTTCAAAGCTATAGAAAGGAACAGAAAACCGACTATAGCTTATTTCAAAACTATATAGAAAGGAACAGAAAACCGACTATAGCTTATTTCAAAGCTATAGAAAGGAACAGAAAACCGACTATAGCTTATTTCAAAACTATATGAAAGGAACAGAAACCCGACTATTCTTATTTCAAAAGTATAGAAAGGAACAGAAAACCGACTATAGCTTATTTCAAAAGTATAGAAAGGAACAGAAAACCGACTATAGCTTATTTCAAAACTATAGAAAGGAACAGAAAACCGACTATAATTTCAGGTTTCAGAAAGTATAGTTAATTGTCCTGCATGTCAAATAATCATAAATAAATGATGAATGATGAATGATGAATGAATTACAGAGGTGTATTTCTTTTCCTGATATTCGTCTGTAAGCGGAACGTTTTCAACAAGCTTAGAGATAAATTTAGTGGAAAACCAAACAAAGGTTAGTGGATAAATTTAGCGGATAAATTTAGCGGACAACCAAACAAAGGTTAGTGGATAAATTTAGTGGAAAACCAAACAAAGGTTAGTGAATAAATTTAGCGGACAACCAAACAAATGTTAGTTGATAAACTTAGCGGAAAACCAAACTAAGGTTTGTGAATAAACTTAGCGTAAAACCAAACAAAGATTAGTGGATAAATAAAGCGGAAAACCAAAAAAAGATTAGTGGATACATTTAGCGGAAAACCAAACAAAGGCGAGTGGATAAATTTAGTTGAAAACCAAACAAAGGCTAGTGGATAAATTTAGCAAAAAAACAAACAAAGATTTAGCGCGAAAATGAAACTAAGATTAGTGGATAAATTTAGCGGAAATATATTACAGGTTAGTGGATAAATTTAGCGGAGATATTCAAAATTTAGTTAAGAAATTTAGCGGTAATAAATCAAAGAAATTGTAGTGGAAAACTCAACGGTGTGCATTTATATTTCTATTTAAAAACTTGAATTGATAAAATCAAATGAATTTTGCAGTAAAGAAATTTAGTTGATTTTAACTTTTATATTAAACTGTATTCTTGTCTCAAAAGGCTCAAAGGATTAGGAAGGAATATTTTAGAAATAATGCAGAAATAAAAGATAAACTTTGAAACAAGAATAAATTTCATTTTTTTACTTTAAATTATTTTCATGCTTTAGCTTACAAGACATATTTAATGAGATTGTAGACGTCCAGTCCGATTCATGAGACTGTAGACGTCCAGCCCGATTCATGAGACTGTTGACGTTCAGCCCGATTCATGAGACTGTAGACGTCCAGCCTGATTCATGAGACTGTAGACGTCCAGCCCGATTCATGAGACTGTTGACGTCCAGCCCGATTCATGAGACTGTAGACGTTCAGCCCGATTCATGAGACAGCAGACGTCCAGCCCGATTCATGACTCTGTAGACGTCCAGCCCGATTCATGAGACTGTTGACGTCCAGCCCGATTAAAAATTGTTTATTCTAAACATTTGCTTTCCTTACACTAAGCCTTGACCCTTTTGTGCAGAAAAATTTTTTTATGATCAAAATATTGCATTGTTTTAACAAAAAAGAACAAAAACGCATGAACAACACTAACTAGGACCTATATATTATATATATGTATATATATATGGGTATATATATATATATATATATATATATATATATATATATATATATATATATATATATACACATATTTGTAGGTGGGCTCAGACAAGGGTCCAGTAATAAAACTGTTTGTTCTAAGCTCTCAGTAAATAACATGCTGGACAAGGGCAGTGGAAAAGAAAGGGGAAATTTTGGACTAAACCTGGCCAAAACTGGACAAGAGGAAGCCAAGAGTGTACAACTGGCCAAAAATGGACACGACGCAACTAATGAGGGCAAATCTCTGACCAAAAATGAACAAGAATTAACAAAAAATGGGTCTATTCGGGCCAAAAGCGGACTAAATGAAACTAAGTTAAGACATGATCAGGCCAAAAATGGACAGAAAAAAACTAACCTAAGACCTAGTCTGTCCAAAAGTGGAAAAAGCTGGGCCAAATATGAACATCAACAGAATGAAAAAATGTCGAAAGAAATAGAAAATGACAAAAATGTCAAAGAGAAAGTTGAATTAGGAAGAGTCGAAGAAGAAAACCATGAAATTGATTTTAGTTCAAAGGAATCTGAACCTGATGATTTAATAAGAAAATGCTGAATTTAGAAAATAACTTAAAGTTTTCCTTCTTTTCCATCATCTTCCCGACTACATTATACTTTATATTCTTTTAAATTTGTTCTACTATACTAATATGGTAAGTTTTGAGACACGGGACAATAAAATTAGAGATAATTTTTTTGTCCCTGCTGGATTAAAAGCATTGTTCTCACAAAGGATTAAATTGTAAAGACGACTTGCAGTCTTCTCCCTTGAATATGGTCTTTAAATGGCTTATTTAATGATTTAGTAAAGAATGAAAGAACTTTTACAGACCGTAAATATTCCGTACAGTCGTCGCTGAAGTATCATCCTCCTCATAAATTTCACTTGAAGAGGATCATTCATTAATCGTACAGTCCCGTTTTGTCTCATATTGTCTGTATATGTACTGTACTGCTTGCCCTGACTGGTTGAAATTCGGCCCGGTACATAAATGAACTGTTATGTACCGTGTTCCAGGTAACCCTGTGCATAAATAGTTAATTTAATTCTGGTGAGCAATCGTAAACCAAGTTCTCTATTTTGTATTTTTGATCAATGTACCTTTATAAATGTAAAGCCTTTAATGTGAAATGTATCTCTGTTTTATGTAGAAAAAAATGTGGCCAATCACTCCAATTTGTTTGTAAATTTATTGAACTTCTTAAGGGTTAAGTCACAACATTTTAAAATTGAGTTTAAATTTTATAGTTATATACATTAATCCCAACTCAATTCTCAAAATATCTCGTCTTACCCTTGGGACTCTACAATGCCGATTCACTACAGTACCCTTGAAACCTTTATCTGATTCATAATGTTAAACATATTATATATTTCCTAGGTTTAAATGTTAAATTGAAGGGTCAATAGTTAATCTTAGTCTTGTGGGCAAGTCTAACGACTAACCCATGAACCACCAAGTTTTCTATTTTGTATTCTATAAATGTGAAATGTATATTGTATTATATGTATTAAGAAATGTGTCAGATTTAACTTTTGTAATTGGGTCCCATAGTGCACTAAACCTTGCACCTTCAATTGTGAACAAAAAATATATATATATATTATATTATGAAATAAATCAAATGCCAGATACGTTTCCTAGTATAATTTAATAGGTAACTTATCAAACTTTTTTTTTAATTCTCTCACTATTAATTTTTTTTTAGTTCGATATTAAATATTTTAAAATTTGATAATGCATTTCAAAAAACTTATTAAGTAAAGTTGACCAATTTCACAAGAGATGAAGAAAAAATATTTACAAAAATTGACCCCAAAAACATATATATTGATGTTAAAGTGTAAACATATATATTTTAATTCTTAAAGGTGTTGATTAATGTTAAATTGAAAATAATTCATTGTTTTTATAAAACTTAAATTTAGATTTGTGTAAAATAAAAGTAATATTCAGACTTATTAAAAGATGTTTGTTTATTAAATCTACGATGTTAAAAGTTCATGTCCTAGTAAAAATTATAAAAGAAAAAAATTGCTGAGAAAGTATTTCTGTGGAATTACAATTGGCTAAATGACGAAATAAAATGTTGAATCAAGAGAATGTTCCCGAAAATGAAAATGGAAGTTTGGAAAATATTAGATTTCTTTCTCTCTCTCCTTCAGCAACCAACAGTTGAATAAAAATATATAATTTATGAATTATTTATTATTTAAGTTTTGTTAATTCATTAATAACAATATGGATGGACATGTAAATAACAAGGTTTGTTAAACAACTAAACAAGAAATTTTGTGTCACAATTGTTCAATGAGGCCATTCTAGCAACCTCTGAGATTATTGTGAAAATATTGAAAATGTTAATAAATTAACGATGCTCAGCGAAGTCAATATCTCTGATGTAGGATTAAGGTCAGTATTAGGGAATTTACAGTAGAATAGATTTCAACAAATGCAGAACCGGACACAGAAGGGATTTAACAGCTGGACAAGGAGATAGTTTTTATTAAAACAAATATCCAGATATATAATATTAGTCCTTAGATTTTAGACGGACCAAACCCCGAACCAGATTTTAGACTAATAACTAAAACCTCCTTAAACCAACCTATCTCTCTTCTCCCCTTGGATAAAAATGGAATGAAATCTTGACTATATAATAATATATCAATAAGCACCTTCAAGTTCGAGGAAACTAAGATTGCGGACATAAATAAAATAGAATATCACGATGACGAATTGTGAAAAATAATTAATTTGTTAATCTTGTAATTTATACAGCGTGGCAGTTCATACTCTTGTGGACAGTTTTTTTTCAATTCGTAGATTACTACTTTTAGGCGCAGCGTGGCTATTTTTGAGCACTTTTAAGAAAACTTTGCCCCTAAAATATACATTCACTCGCTATACACAGACAAAAATTATCACAGCATTTAAGTGGACTTAGACAAGTCGTCTTTATACCACGTGGTCCGACTGGGAACAGAAAGAATATTGATTAGATGAGTTTAGGATGGATTCTGCTCCAGCTTGCCGCGTAGTATTCACTGCTGCCAGCCGCGAGTGCTCTCTACGGCCTGGCGGAGCGCAGAAGACGACCCGAATCCCCCGCCACGTGGCAGACCGATGTTACTTCCGGTCCGTTGTAGACGTGGGCCTGACCCGGAGTCAGTTCTAGTCCTAAACAGATTCAAAATAAGTATTTTAAAAACAATTATAAAAAAAAATTGAGAAAAAAACTTTTATCATGCTTATATTTCAATACGCTTTTAACTACAGTTCAAAATAATGCATTTAAATTATGATGATTAGCCTAAATTAAATAAATTACCTATTAGTAGGGATTGGTATATTTGAATTACTCGGTTGTCTCGCCCTACAATTAATTAATAATTAAGTCTAAATAAAATGTTAGATCACAATGCAATGTAAAGATTTAAAAACAGATTAGTTTTACAAGCAAATAAATATATTTTTAAGGGATTGTACATAATTTTAATTGACGCCACTAATCAAAGAGTGCCAACAGTAATTCACAATGGTGCTTTACACCATTAAATTGTGAATCTTCTATCACATTCTTTAAATGAAAAGTCATATAAAATTTAGTAACAATCCCTTTATTCCTCAACCGTTGTTAGTACTTACTTAATCCCTGGAGTCCCTGAGACAGAGTTATTTCTGGAGTTAGGACGGGAGTTGTTAATCCTGAGACAATATTAGGGTTACAAGTTAGAACATGCTAAATTATGATAGAACCTGAACTCAAAGCGATATTACAAGTGACCATTAATACAAAGATACTTAATGTCTAGTTCACAACGGTATCATTGAATACTGTATCTGATCAATAATGTGAAACATATTGTAGTTTTCACAACTAGGTTTAAAAGTGTTAAATTCTGATAATTCCATTCTGTTATCCTGCAGTAGAAATGTAAAAGTCACTTTTGATGAGAAACCATAACTGAAAATAATCAGTTTTAAAATCATTAACATGGATGTCTAAATCAGACACAGATTTTAAGGCTATCGGTGTGAAGCGGGCATTGCCATCTTTGAATGGAGGGTTCCTTGGAAAAACGTTTACAGTCCCTTTAAAGGGGCGATTTCTGATTCTTTACAGCCCTTTAAGATTTGAAAAACAATGCTAAAGAACCAAAAGTTGGCTAAATTAGTTTCTTATGTGAGAAAATAATAAAACATAACAAAACTCTGTCCTTGTTGACGCCATGCAAAATAAATACAAAATAATAAATCATATCAAAATAAAATGCCTAAATAAGAATTCTTTAAATGGTAGATGCTTAAATTATAATACAAAAATTAATAGAAAGCAAAATTATTAAAAGCTAAATATAGATTTTAAAACACAAGTATTTAAGTGAGAAAGCAGAATAAATTGGAATTAGGTTGATGTTTGAAATATTGATAGGCCTAAAAATCAAGCCAATGAATGTGTTTTGCTAATTCTTGTCTTTAAATTATTTACATAAAAGAGAGTTGTCTATTAAGTAAAAAGGTGAGAAACAAAATGAAAAGGATGACAAAAATACAACACTACTGCTCACCCTTCTCAGGGATTTTGACAATCTGAGACATTTTCAGAATTTGGCGCATTTTCAGGATCATTTTCTATTTCTTGAAGAACTGGAGGATTTTCAAATGGACCGGCCTCGGCCTCTAGTTCTTCAAAGGACTCTTCTGAGAGGCCCCTTGAGGTGCCTTGCTCGAAGCTTTGAGCCTCAGAAAATACTGAGGTCTGATGGGAGGACCGTCCAATATATCGAGGTATAAGAGATCTATAATGGGCAAAATGATATTTTTTGAAATTTTTACGTTTTTTTTAGGTTTTTATGGACTTAAAAATACCTTTTTCTGTTTGGGGGTTCCGCCTCGCTTAAAGCGGGACTTTGGCTGCTTTAAAACAAAAATTTAATTTAGATACTTTTAGTTTAGACATTCAGTGCACACTGCACATGTATTTTCATTATATTTGGGTCACATCATGACTTTGCTTTTAGGCCAGGGAAATCTAAAGTTTCTTAAAAGTGGAAATATTTATTAAAATCTGTTTCCAAAAATTATAAAATAAGCCTTTGAAACATTTTATGATCTAATACAAGCAAACAGGCAATAAGAGTATGTTAACTGTCTTTCTATCTTTCTTTCCAGTTAGATTAGATTAGATGAAGATTAGATTAGTACCTAGATGGAGTGGATGCATGGTTAATAGCTGACTGGCAGCCGACGAAAACTGGAATATTCGACTCCGATGTCGACTTAATCATCTGACTGGGTCGAGGGGTTATATATGACTTCGACCTCATCCTGATAGCAGGGGTTAGTTACCATTAATATTCATGCAGATTTATTATATTCGACATTTATACTAAAGGGACAGTAAATCTAGAGTGACATATTTAAAGAAAGCCATACCTAATTCACAACATGGTAACTTTAAATCTGATCATTGATGTGAACTTGTTTAATGAATAGTTTAATTCTATCAATTTTTTCTATTGTTTCTGTCCCTTTATAGGAAAACCAAAATTAGGATAAAAAATGGACCTCATTCAGCCTTGATCAGACAACCCTTTAATAGTAAATCGGATATGGCAACCTTATAAGTTTATTATCACTTGAAATTACGTTTAAAATCCCTTTACACAGTACAATACAGTGTACAGTGTACAGTGTACACTGTACACTGTACAGTACAGTACAGTACAGTGTATAGTACAGTACAGTACAGTAAACTACAGTGTACAGTGTACACTATAATTTTAAATCGTACGGATTTTGTGGATAAAAATTAAAATTAATTTGTTTTAAATCTTTTATAAGTAGGTTCTTGCTGTCTCAAAACAAATTATCAAGTCCTCTCTGTACTCTGTACAATCTTAATTTAAAATGGTGGCTGTAATATTTTGCATATTTTCTTTGTTTAAATTATTGTATTTTTCCCATTATTTAAAGATATATATATTATATTCAGAAAAATATAGAAATATGTTGATTTGGAAAAATATTTTTGATAAAATTTCAATATGCTTTTTATGAGAAATCAAATTCTACAGGAACTAAATACTTGTCTCAAACTCTAATTTTCTCATCTTTATATCGTTGCAACCTGATGTCGTGGGTCTTTGATATTTCAAAATAACTTCTGATAAACAATAAATTCAAAGTTTAAAATATAAAAGGTTTACACCACCAGGTTGAAAAGATAAAGGAATTAATAATTTAGAGTTTGTGACAAGTCTCAAGGTTCTAAGATTTGAATCCCATTTAGAAACCAAAAGCATCAAAAATAAATCCAAAATATACAACATATTTATATTCATCAATTCATGGTTAATAATAAGTACATTAGCAAAGCAGAATGCTGGTTAATAATTTATACATTAATATTTAAAAATATTTAAAGCGTGTGTTCACGAATTTGAACATCAAAACTTGAGTATATACAGAGTACAGACATATTTAGAATAAAAATCGGAACATTTCATTTCAGATTTTATTTTATTCCATTCAGTAAAAAGTAATATTTTTGAGTTTTTTAGTTTTGGCATTTAAATTCGTGACTAATCACTTTAATATTTTGATATCAGTGAGTCTCAATAAACAAAATAAATTAATTTAATACAAAATAAATTTTAAAAAGCAATAAAATTCTGTTGTAATTAACTTACAGTGGTGGGCGATTATATCAAAAGAAGACTTTCGAATTAAATTTTCATATAAACTTTGCTGTTAAACAGCTTGGATACACAAAAACATGAAAGTCAAGAGAAATTATCAATTAAAAAAGCTTTTTTTTACTACTTGCAAACTTGTAATCCAAAGAAACCTTGTCAACAATCAAAACTTAAATAAAAAGTCGTCTTCATTGTAGTGATATAAAAGCTTACCACCGTACTTAGAAAAACAAAACAAAAACTTCACATAGTGTTTAATGGAACTCACTGCAGTGGGGCTTAGCATACATTTTTAATCGATTTCAACTCATTAAGTGCTTAAACTTTTTGATAATCTTACTCAAAGATCTTATTTCAAACAAATATTTTTTCACTAAAAAAAGTTGTTCAATTTTTTTGGGTGCATTTTTTGAATTTAGACTTTGACAAGTTTTCAAGTAAGTTTATAAAAAGTTGTAGAACTAGTTTGGTTGAAAAAAAGATTAAAACCAATATCGAGACCTATGGATAAAATTATGATCAATCTATCATGCTTAAAAAAAACTAATTTCAACTGTTTTTGAAAAAGGCGAACACCCCCTTTAACTATCCCGTATCTCCTACCTGGCTGATAGAGGAGTTCTGTCTGTAGATGAGTTGCTGGGAGTTCTATTCCTATCTCCACCAGGCGTTGAAGTCTTTCGTGGAACACTAGATCCGAACCCAACAGGGGTTGGACGCATTCCTCGAGCTCCGTTACGCATACTGCTCGAGCGACGAACATTGGATCCGCGACGGCCTCCGTCATCCTCGGAATTGAGCGACATGTTGGATCCATGGCGGCTGGGTGGTCGGGAGCCAGGTTGGGAGCCGGGGGTAAGGGAGTTGCGACCAGCAGCGGCGGATTGTCGACGTGAGTAAGGGTCGTCGTTGTAACTGTAGTCGACACTAGAGCGAACATTCATTCCAATACTACGCTCAGACTTCTCTTTAATCTAATAAAACAGTTTATTAAAATTTTTAAGCAAATATAAATGAAAATACTATCAACCGTTTCTCAAAGACATTGCAAAATCCAAAAAACTGATTCCATTAAAAAAGTACGTACCAGCAAACAAAATACTCACAGAACAAAAACTATCTAACAAAAAAATCTCCAGTAAACCGGTGAAATCCCACTTTGGTCTGACAAAAAATACTCACTTTCTGTATGGTCCAGGGGGGAAACAAGTAAAAAAACTGATAAAAACTCATCTATGTCTAACAAAAAATACTTACTTTATGGTTCAAGGGTAAAAACAAGTAAAAAAACTAGCTAAAAATCAAACAAAAAATCTCCAGTAAACCTGTGAAAACTTCCTCTATGTCTTAACAAAAAAACTTACTCTATAACCAAGAAGAAAAAAATAAAAACTAGCTAAAAAATAAAATAAAAATCTCCAGTCAACCGGTGAAGCCCTCTCTTGGTCTTGCAAAAATACCCAGGAGAAAAAATTTCACATCTACTGGGAAAAGTATGTTAGTTAGGTTTAAACAAATTATACAGATAAAACATTGTTGTTTGAAAGATCTGTAATTCAACTTGGTTTGATATGGTCCAGTTTATATCTCTGTTCCAAGTAGAATATCGTGCTCTAATAGTATAATGTATTATGTGAACAAAAGTCGAAAATTTCATTTAAATGTTCTTTCTGTATAATCTGTGGTTGAATTAAGTGTTAGTAAAACTCCAGCAGGATCAAACCACTCCTCTCCTACCCTTGGTAGGGTTGAGAACCCGGAGCCACCAGAAACCAATCTTGGTGGAGCAGAAACCTTCCGTACTTCTCCTCCACCGGGACATAAACCATTCGGAGCAGACACCTTCCGTCCCAACCCAGGTCCAGGAGAACCCAGAGCTGGAGGAGCAGATATTATCCTAGTCCAGGAGTGGGACATACAACCATGGGCAGAGATGGTTACTCTATCCGTGATTGGATGGAGGAACCCTATCCCGGTCTTGAAAGCTCCACACTCCCGGATACTCTGGAAGATCGGGAGCAGGATCGCTAATATCTCCTCCGCTAGAAAACATGCTATAGTTAAGATCTTTTCTCAAGGTTCCTAAACCTAAACCTAGGGAAAGAACGGATTAATCGTTTACCTGAACTCAACCCCAGATCTACGTTCAGACTTAAACTTTGGACCGAAGAGGGCTCCTTGCAAAACCCCCTTAATGGTCCCTGGACTAACCTTAGTAATGGGCCCTGAAACTCCGTTCCGTCCCTCTCCGGATACGGAGGAGGTCGGAGACGCAGCGGAGGTCTTTGACATCTTAGAGGTGAATCCTACAACACTCTGGCTGACCCCTGCAGCGAGTGTAAACTGCTCACGGAGTTCCACGTTGGTCCGACCCTTGGCTAAAAGGAGAAAAAACTTTGTAAAATCAAAATCATTTTAAACATCAAACCTCCTTCAAAATCAGATTTTTTTAACAAAAAATTGTATCTTTAATTTTAGAATGAAGAGGGTTTGATTTAACACGTCATGCATAAAAGCCTATATAAAAAATGTCAAAACAAAAGATTATTTGGAATAAACCTAGAAATCATAAATGCACTAAAAATTGAAAAAGAAAATGGCAATAACAGCATTTGTATAAAAAACAGCTTATGACTTTGTTTAAAAGATAAAAAACAAATACCGCTATTTTGAACTGCCAAGAAAAAAGAGAAAGAATGTGCAATTAAAAAAAATATTTCAGGCTACAAAAAAAAAAAAAAAAAAGTATTAGCTAAGCGTCCATATTTCTTCTACCCAACGGTTGCAGATCATTATTTGTATCCAGATTGTCGACTGAACCGGTTTTAAGATTGTTTCTCGAACCCGTTTTCAAATGCGGACTAGATAGGTTGAGCATAGAGGCATATTTCCTGGCGTACCGTCGCCTAGCGGCCCGGTCAAGGCAGGCTAAAAGGGTTAAAAGTGCAAACTAAAGTTTTACAAAATGTCTAGAAAATTAAGATTATTTCGTTCTAGATATTCTGTGTGTGGTACAGTGAAACCCAAAAAATTGTGGAAAAGGAAGACGACTGTTTTGATTTTAATTAGTCCAATGAACATGAAACATGAAGTGTGCACAGCACAGACCCAATTTAAAAGTAGATTTTATAATTTACTGGTAAAACTTTTTGCTATTTTATATCATCAAATAAACATTGCTTAAATGCTGTCCACCAATTCCATAGTTTAATGGGTTTCACTGTAAATGTTGGTGATTTGGAAAGATAGTATCAGAAGAAAGAAAACAAACCTAAAAATAAAAAAAACTAAACGCTGGAAGGTTTCCAAACCTACAGCAACAATGTTTATTATCTGAGAACTACAGCATTACGTTCAACATAATCTTGATGGTGGGGAAAGAACGCGAAGAAAATAAAAGATAAGATATTTATCCAGTAGGACAGTAGGACTGTAGACTAAGTCGTAACATAGGTTGGGAAAGGAAAGATAGGACGGATGCCATTTTATGTCATTTTTGTCAAATATTCGTTATCACATGTAAATCTGAACTCCATTTTTGTAATATCATGCATTTTTGATGGATTTTTGCAATTCAATAAAATCATTTTTACATAAACAAAATAGAATGGAGGGATTTTAATACTTCACGATAGTTATAGGAAGATAAGGATGGATATCTATATTTTAGAGTAAGTTTGTGATGGATATCTTTAATTTGAAGGAAGATAAGGATGCGATATCTATAATTTGAAGGAAAGGTAAAAAAGGATATCTGTAAATTGAAGGAATCTATAATTTGAAAGAAGGAATGATGGAAATTTATATTTTAAAGGAAGAGAAGGATGGATATCTCACTTCAAAGGTAGGTTAGGACGGAGATTTATATTTGAAGGAAAATATAGATGGACATTTATATTTAAAAATAAGGCAAGGATGGATATCTATCTATCAATAACGAACATGCGATTAATGTTTTAGTAGATTATCTTACAGGGTGGACCCGAGATTGATGAACTTTTTCTAGAGCTTGCGCTCGACTTTCGAGACAATGAACTCTGGCTCCGGGATTTAGGTCGGTCAGCGGCCATAGCCGCCATTTCAGAAATGGCGACGGGGCAGAACCATTCATGATGCTCATGGTGAGCTACACCATCCAGACCAACCAGCCCACGGATTAGAACTAGCAGCAGAGGAAGGTTAGAGGGTTAATCATCTCCAGGGGGGGGGGGGGGCTCAACCCCATTGGGTTAAATGTTATTATTGTTATGTAAAAAATAATAGCCATTTAAGGCAAAGTCTTGAGTCAAAAATATATAAAACTGATTCAAAAATGAAAAAAATGTTTTCAATCAGTTTTACTACGTCTATTTAGTCTAAAGTATTATTGTTAGTGTCACAGCAGTCAATTAAAACCTGTTTAAGAGAACTCGTCATGCCGCGGTTAAAACCAACCGTTAGCTATATTCAGGTCAGATATAATGGGTCAACTTGGAAAATTACAACAAGTTGAACCCCACCCACTGCTGACCGAACTGTAGCTGGCTTTGTATCTTTTAATATCTAACTAAAGTGTTAAATACAGTATTATGTTATACCCCCTCTATCATTTTGATTTGTAGCTGAAATAGGGAAGATGCCGACATTGCTTACGCGCCCTGGCGTGATTTATGATGAGGCGCGTGAGCTTAGCGACCTCAGCGCGCGCAGCAAGATGAGCGACTGGGTTACTGTGCTCTATAGTTGGGACTATATGTATACAGGTTGAGAGGAGATTTCAACTGTTTATAAATGTTTTACATTTAAGAGAAGAAAAAAAACTATATTTATAGTAAGACCCATAAAAAAATGGAACAGAAAGTTGATTGTTGGACTTAAATTGTGTTTTAAATAGTTTAATAAACAAATTGTGCAGTGTACACAGATCCATTTCCTTAATACGATATTTCAAAGCTATTAAAACTATTTTCTTTATAAGAACCACAAATACACAAAAGAGTGCCTAGATGTCGTCATCTTATTCCAAAGTTTTATGACTCCCGTATGTAATTGATTAGTAATGTAGAACAGATAACAGCATATTGAAATCTCCAAATATTTGTATTAACCTAAACTTGTATTGCACTTTTTCTTAAGAATTGGACATGAAAATGTAGAATGTAGATTACAGATAGTTGAGAAATTATCAGCAATTTTGCAGTGAGTTCCAACAATAAAATGAGAATTCAGTGATTATATCAAACTGCCTAACAGTTTTTTTTAAACAGAGGTATTAAACATAACCTCTGATTTCCCATATGTGTTGGACCTCTCTGTATCTGATGAAAGAGTTAAATATTTACCTCTGCAAGGATCGTTCTTGACAAGAAACTCGTCCAGAGCACACCAACCTCCTCCAACACGAACCATGACAGTGGAACGAAGGATTCGAACAAGGCGAAGCTTCTGAGAGTCACCGAACTGAACAAATACAATTTTAACAGTGAGCAATAACAAAAACAAAGGCGTTAATAATATTAAAAATAACAAAAAACATTTATAATAGCAAAAGCAAAAGCAAAGGCAAAAGCAAAAACATTAACAGATAAGAAAAACATAAACAAAAAAATAATAACTAATAACAAAAAACAATAACATTAACAAATAATTAAAGCATTAACAAATAATTAAAGCAATACAAAAAATAATAAAAACAAACACAATAACAATAATTCAACAAAAATGGCCACACAAATTTCCAATACAATAACAAACAAAAATGATAAACAAGAACAAAAACAAAATATTAATTTATATTAATTGAAAAAATATTAAAAGAATTCAATGATAACAAAAAACATTAAAATAAACTTACTCTGTATTTTCCTTCTCCAACTTGGAAAACCTTAAACTTCTGTCGACAAGTACACTGAGCAACTTGTCGCTTGATCTCGTCGTCGATTCTTTGTGTGTCGGTGAGTGGTCCTCTCTCCTCCCAGTCGGGTCGAAGAGCGACCATAAACTCTCTCCAGTCGATCATACCGTCTCCGTGGTCGAATTTATCAGCAACAGCGTTCATCTCAAGTTTACTTGATGGAAACTTGTTCTTAAGAATTCCGTCGATGAACTCGTCCCTCGGGCAGTAGCCGTCACCGTCGTCGTCCAACTTCCTGAAGAAGTCCTGGACACGGGACTTCTTGTTGTTGTTAAACTTAAGGTAGCGCTTTCTCCACTCTTCCCAGTCGAAGTTCTTGACGTTCTCTAGCTCCTGGAGGTAGTTCAGCTTGTCCCTGAGCCTCCTATCTCGCTCCCAGGCCATCACCCAGACATGTCTCCACTTCTCCCAGAGAGCCTTAGCGCGGGGGTTCTTAATTCCACCCTCCTGGCTCACGCTGGCACGGCTAAAAAACAACAATTTTTTATGAACTTTGAAAACCATATTTTGGATGGATAACATACAATTTTCATTTTAAAAAAGATAAACTTTAAAAAGTTGAAATAATTGTGAAAAGACATAAAGTTTTTCAATTCAAAGAGGACGATATTTCTAAAATCATGAGAGAAGACGATAATTCTAAAATCAAGAGAAGACGATATTTTTAAAACTAAAAGAAGACGATATTTCTAAAATCAAAAGAAGACGATATTTCTAAAATCAGTCGACTTTCTCCCTACCTTCCTTTCCTCTCCGAGAACCTGGGTCCACCCCTTCTATCAGGTGTAGCACGGTCCCCGGGACTTGAACGGCTAAAAATAGAAAAAATATGAGAGCAAGTATTTTTTATGAAATTCCAAAAAAAATGTTTAAATATTTTAAAATTCCAAAACTTGATGCAAATTAGTGAAGGAGTGTTCTAGCATCTCGCAGACATCAGACAGATGTAAAAACTCAAATTTGGAAAAATCAAAATTATAATTAATCATGAAAGCCATGGGTTGAGCCCCATATACGGATTGGACTGGTTTATCAGTATTCTCGTATGGTAATCAGCTTGTGATATAAGAAAACACAGATATTAGGAGTTCTGAGAAAGGAATTGACCCTTTGCCACGAACTCAAATTTCCTAAGCCCTATAGCTTTGAAACGTTTGATATATTTTACAAAGATCTAACAGAATTCACAGTTTGAAATACCAAAGGTCTCCTACCCTGTCGTTACAATGAAATAGGGATTAAAAAAATAGAGTTTGTGGCAAAGGCTTCATTCATTTCTGATTGGTTAGATAACAGAAAGAAACAGAAGTTCTAAAATGTTGAAAAAGATTATTTTATAAAATACGAGAAAAAGAGAAAATAACAGAAAGAGCGAAAACATAATGTCTGAGAAAAAAAAGAACTTACAAAAATGTTATCGTTTGACAAAATTAAATTTACAAAAAAAATTTAAAAAACAAAAAATGTTAGTTTGGATTTTAAAGCTTTTGCTGTTTATTATTCATTAGTGAAGTTTAAAAGGTTTTGGAGGAAAGAAGTCCTCAGCTAAGTGTGTACAGTCGATTGTGACATTTAAAAGCCAATTGGGAGAATTACAGTCGTCGTCGTCGTCGTATGTATCAATACAATGAAGATGACGTTCTCTGTTTAAATTTTGGAGTAACCAATCTGTCAGATAGCAGTTACATGAAAACAAAAAAGTTGTCAATTAACATCTTCTCTTTGTAAACTTGTAATTTGAAAATAACTTGTTTTGGATCAAAACTTAAATAAAGTCGTCTTCATTGAATTAATATAAACACCGACCACTGTAGTCAAAACTTAAATATAAAAGTCGTCTTCATTGAATTAATATANGGGGGGGGGGGGGTTATTTACCTGATGGACGCCCTCGGTCCCTTTCTAGCATCCGCCATGCTGCAATAGGGTTAAATGTCAGTTGAAATAAATTTTGGAAAAGAGTTTTTTTTTCTGCAATGATTTTGCTCATCATGCACGTGCAAAAGACGAGTTTTAACTTTGCCAAAATATTTTTAAAGTGTATGTTGTATGTTTATCCTTGTTTTCTTAAATACTGGTTTGACTGTTTACAAGAAAAAAGTTTATAGCTTGAACAGCTTTTATAAAGAAAAAATTAACTAAATTGATTTGCTTGGTAAATTTTAAAATATTTAATCTAATTTTTGTTCAAGGTTTAGTACAGGTTGTTCAAACTTATTTACACATAACGACGTTGATTATGATGTCGAAATCAAATCAAATCAAACTTGAAGTCTTAAAATTACTGTTTTTTTTAGTAAAAAGGTTAAAAAATTAAATCTGGCATTTCTATATTAATCTTAAAAATGTAATTGTTTGTGGATTTATAAATTTAAAATTAAATTGTTTAAATTGATTGTTTGTGTGCAGTGTAATTTGTACAAGAATTCAAATAAGACTGAATCATGTTGTATGTCCCGCACCCATATTTCATGCATATATAATTAATCACAGCTGCCGTTCAAATACAGTTTTTTAAATTAAATTTTTCAAGGAATTGATAACTTGCCACAAAGTTTATTTTTAAAATCTCAATATCCTTGCAACCTGATTTAATGGACCTTTGATATTTAAAAAAATAATTTTGCTACTACAAATAGTAAAATATCAAAGGTTTTTGATAATCATTAGATTGCAAAGATATATGGATAAGAAAAATACATTTTGTGACGAGTAATCAAATTTTCAAATGGCGGCTGTAATTGGTAAAACTGATAAAACATGCACATGCCGCGCTCTGGTGTGTACTGTGTAGAGCTGTACATGCACATGCCGCGTTCTGGTGTGTACTGTGTAGAGCTGTATCTTCTTCTTCTGATGAGATTACGTTCACATCTGGCGTCGGGTTTAGTAAACTTCATAAACAAGCTGGTTAGGCGGCCTAGGGGTTAGTTTCAACAGACCAGGCAGAATAAACTTTTTTGAGTTAATTTTCAGTCCAGGGTTAGACAAGATAAAAAATATCCATGTTAAAAGAGATTGAACTCCAGGATATTGTTAAACTAGATAAAAATACTTGTTTAGCGCACCTCTGGTCATGGTTCAAAAAATCAAGCCAGGGTTTAGGATAATCTCGTTGGGGGGATCCACCATCTCTATCGTAGTAGCTACAACAACAACAACAACAATAACAAAATGCATCAAATTTGGCAATCAAAAGAAATGGCGCCAAAATATAAAAATGATGCATTTTTATCAAGGTCCCAACTTCTAAGTGCAAAAAATGATCTGAAAAAATGTGCAAAAAAATATAAGTGCTTAACACACGAATGTGTCCTTAAAGAGCGTAGAAAATGTGCGGAGAAAAGTTGAAAAAGGAGCCTGATATCCACCAAAATTTTACCCTACAGATTTAAACTATATAAATACGTCACAAATACGTTTAACCAAATTACAATTCTAGATTCCATGAACTGCCTCTTTAAGAAGCTAAATTGTTAAAAAAAATCAAAAATACTATTTTAGACATTTACATGTTACGCTAAATACATTAAATACATTTTATAGTGATTAAGCTAAATACTTTAAAGCTAAAATACGAATTAAAAAATGAAGAAACTTAAAAAAATAATTTTGAAGATTCTTAAAAAAAATTCTTAAATATTTTTTTAAAAGTTGCTACACTAACCAAAGACAGACATATACATACCTTGATTTTCTGGACTTGTTGGGAGATCCTTCTCTTTCAGGACTAAACCGGCTTAAACATGGCATTCATTATATTCAACCATTTTGTATTATTAAAATAACATTTTAAATATTAAAGTGATTGTCTACATAAATTTTAGTAATCCTAAAGAAATTGAGTCTTTGCCACAAACTCTGATTTTCTAATCCCTATAGTTGAGATTAAGGATTAAAAAATTTGAGCTTGTGGCAAGGACTTAATTTCTTTAAAAATTTCCATAAATTTTCACACATTTTAAATAAATAAGAGAGATCTCTTTGTTGTAAAAAATATGAATTAATACAATAATTGACATAAACAAAATTTAAGAATATCGTTGTCAATTATCTTTTATGGCTGCTGAAAGTTACATAAACAACCTCTTAATGTTAGATAGTATTGTTAGTATGTTACTATTTTCAAATATGGTAAATTTTAACAATTATCATTAGAAAGGAAGACTTTTTAAATTTTTTCCTATTTCCAAATTACAAAAATAAATTTTTGTTTAAAGGGACAGTAAAGGAAAAATGAAAGGGGGTATAGACTGAAAGCTAATCACTTTAGCTCTCGATCGTGACCCATGAAAGTTTTATCTGATGTTCCTATCTCGAGAAATTGATTTACAACTGTGTCAAATTTATACGAAAACTAATATATATACAATTTTGTATAAAAGTAGTGGGTTTAAATAGATCAAATTCAGCAAATAAGCAACCAATCTGAAAACGATAATATCCCCGAGAAAGCTAATTATTACTTAGGTTTACTCCAATTCTAATTTTATATTTGTTATTTCTATTTTTAATAGATTTAATTCATAATATTATTTACACGTCCGAATTGCTTGACCAGAAAATCCACCAATGACAGTGCAGTAAAGTGGTCACGTGATACAGGCAGAGACACGTGATCAGTATACTGCTCTGCTATTGGTGATAGTTCTGGTCACGTGATTTAAGTTTAAGATTTTCTAAATTTGACATATATGAACTTTCGTATGATTTTAACACAGTTTAATATCAATTTCTCGAGATAGTAACATCAGATAAAACTTTCATGGGTCGCGATCAAGAGCTAAAGTGATTAGCTTTCAGCCTATACCCCCTTACATTTTTCCTTTACTGTCCCTTTAAATAACATCACAAGCAAATCCATTTTCTTGTTGAAAATGTAATTTTTAATTTTTTACTTATTTTGAAAATATGATGAAAGCATGTAAACTTAGTAAAATTAATGGAGTCAGTATTTGTTGGAAGATTCATAAAATCTGAGCATTTTTAGACGATTTTTTTTAAAAAAAAGGAAGACGAACTATTAGAAATACATTTTTATGAATCTTATTTAATGTTGATAAACGAGATTTAATTTTACACAAGTACTATCATAACAAAGTTTTCAAAAAATAAAATCTCATTTATTAATGAAAGGGACGTTCTTTGATTACGTACTGTTCACTTGAGAACCCCAAAACCTAAAAGAGCGACTAAACTACAACAAAAACCTAATTTCTACAGATTTACTGCTCTAACTACTTTTTTAACAGATCTAGCAAAAAAAATCAGTAAAAACCAAAATTAAAGATTTTTGGAATCTTTTTTAAGCTAGCCTGGTCTAGTAAAGGACTGGTCACAATTTTTCGGCAGGGAGAAAAAAATTTTGGGGGATAGTTTAATCTTGTGGCCAGTCCTATTCTATCTACAGTCTACTAGTAGACTCTATACCTCGGCCTTCTAGAAGGATCCAAGTCGGGCGAACCTTCTCTCGAATCTCTGCTGCATAGTATTTATATATAAGGGGCACAATACAGGGTGAATATGGGAAAAGGGGGTGTCTCATAAAGATGAAACACCCTGTGTAGTGCATGCAAAATACTAGAAAAATGACAAGTAAAAAATGAAAATGGAAAAATTCTCTCACCCAGGTCCTTTAGCTTTAGATGTTCTTCTGCTGGATGGAGCTTGAGACTTGGGACGCATAGGTTTGCAGACAGCATCAATCTCAGGTTGTCTCTCTGTTAATCCGTCCATGAATCCTTGGTGTTCAACCAACAACTCCTGGATAATCTCAAGATCATCAGGTAGAGGTTCTTGTTCAAGTTGGATCAAGTTCTGCTCCTTTCCAATCAACCATTGCATAAGTTCGTCAAGAAGCGCAAGCAGTTCTCTTAGCTGTTTCAGATGTTCTTCAAGCTTGTCAGATCTCTGAAGAGCCCAGGAGGCAACTTCGTCCCATCGTGACTGGATGATAGTGATCCAGTGCTTGATCACCTGAACAGCATCAGGATGGCATTTCTTAAGGATGTCCTGGGCTAGGTTGATGGTGTAGTCCTTGTCCTTCTCCTTCTCCTTCAGCTCGTTCATAAACCTGGCATGATCAGCTATCTGCCGTTCAACCTCTTCTTCGTCCTCTGGTAGAGGGCCAGCAAACCTTAGTTTCATCTCAGCATCAGACAACCATTCAAGGAGCATGTTAACGGATTTATGAAGTTCCTCGGCCAGCTTCAGAGCATCTTCCAACCTCTTGGTCTTATTCTTGCTTAGATCCCATACATTTTCCCACCTGTTGGTGAGTTCAGTCACTTGTGCTCTGATCTTAACAGCATCTTCCTTTTCAGCTGATCTTAGAAGTTCTTCAGCAGTCTGCTTTAGTTGTTCAACCTGTTCAGACCTGCTGTTCAGCTCTTCCTCAAAGTTCTTGTGCTGTTCCACTAGTCCAATAACAGTGTCAAGATCTCCATGCACTGGTTGTTTGTCATCCAGTCCCTTCTCCATTTGTGCCAGCCAGTCCATGAGGGCCTTGAGGGCATCTTTGAACTGTCCAGAGAAGAGAAGAGCTTCTTCTAACTTCCTCTGTCTCTCGACTGACAGATTGCAGATCATGTTCCACTTGTTCTTCAGCTCAGTCATCATGCTCTTGATCACAGGCTCATCAGTCTTTGGAGCTTTTCCAATTAGAGTCTTTCCTGTCTTCATGGTTGAGTCATACATTAGTTGTTTCTCTCCCAACTCTTTCTGGAACTCCTTGTGCCTCATGATTTGCTGCTTGATCTTTTCAGGATCGTTCTTCACCTCCTTAGACATATCATCCAGCCTAATGTGGGCCTCATCCAACCAGCCCATCATGAAGTCCCAGGCGTCATGGAACTCCTTGGCCTCTTTGTATCCGTAGTCCAGAGCCCTGGTTCGCTCAGCAGACTTGCTTACCACCTTCTCCCATCTGTGCTGGACAGAAACTAAGAGGTTCTTGATGAGGATAACATCCTGCTTCTGGGAGAAGTACTTCAAGTGAGTTCCCTTTTTGTCCAAGGACAGCATAGTCTCCCTTTGAGAGGAAACCTCTGCCTGGAACTCCTTGTGCTCCTCTATCTGGACCAGGATAGTTTCCATGATCCTAGAAACTGGTTTCAGGTTGCCAAGATGTTTCTCAGCATTGGTCAACCAGTCAATAAATGCTTGTAGAGCTTCATGGAACTCAGTAGCTTCCTTCAGAGCAATCTCAAGCTTTATCTTCTTGTCGTTGGCTCTGTTCAGGATGTTGTCCCATCTAGCCTTCAGAGTCTTCAAGTTGTTGGAGAGATTAGTTGCCTGGCCATCCTTAGATTTCTTCAGGTATTCGTGACCTCTTCCTAGCAAAGCATCAATCTTGGGTGCAGTAGCATCAAGATCATGATAGACCTCCATGAACCGCTCAAGCTGATCCCGAGCAGTCTCTGGCAGACCTCCAACAGGTTTGGAGGTTGATAGAGCTGTATCTACATCGTTCAGCCACATAAGCATATCCTGAATCTCTTGGTTGAATGCCTGGGCTTCCCTCAGGGCATCCTCCAGCTCGGCCTGCCTGTCCTCACCCTTGGTGAGCAGGTTGTTCCACTTGGTGTTCAGCTCGTTCAGCTTCTGCTGGGTATGAGAAGCCTCTCTGGATCCCTTCTCAGATTCAATAATCTGCCGACCAGCATCATTCAGTGTGTCCACACTGGACTGATGAGCTTGAATGTCGTTGACGATAACCTTGAGCTTGGCTAGTTCAACCTCAATCACCTGAGGATCACCATAAACAGGTTTGAGGGTGTCCAGTGTTTTATCAGTCCTATCAATCCAGACAAGCAGCTCACTGAGTGCATGTTGGAACTGTCCAAGACGAAGAAGAGCGTGCTCCAACTCCTTCTGACGGACGACAATGCCCTTGTTGAGGTCATTCCACCGCCTGTTGACATCAGCCAAGGGCTCTTTGATGGCCCTTGCTTGGTCAGGGGAAGTTCGTTCAGTTAGATCATCGGCTTGCCTAAGAAGAAAGAGGTTCAAAAAAATTATCTTAAAAATTTAAAAATAAAACTTTCAGAAGAAAAGATTTCTCACAAAATCTAAAAAATTTCAAATTCAACAACCTGTCTCTAATTCCTAACACACATTTCTGTTACAGAAAGTTTTCAAATTTTGTGAACTTAAAAAAACGTATATTTAAAAATGTGTATGTGTGATCAGGTTTATGTTTTGTTTATTTAGATATTATGTTTAATGTGCAATTAATCAAAATTTAAAAGCTAAAGAAACAACTATTTGACAAAATCAAAAATAAAACCACCAGAATCAAAAAGACTGATCTAGAAAAATATTTTGCTTTTTAGGAAAGATTTTAATTTTACTGAAGTAAACATTAGAAAAAAAAATTAGTGATGTGCTGAAATTTCAAGTGTTTCAAATGTGCTTTTTATCAGCCATGAAAGATGCTAAATAGTAAAGTGTTCACAATTGTATTGTTATAACAAATTTTAACAAAAAAGCAAATGAAAAACATCAAAACATACCATTTCAACCTTTTCCTTGTCATCAGTCTAATAATTCAATGAGTTTAACATAATTTAATGAAACTACATGGAAAAAATAAAAACACACAACTATGTTTTTTGAGAAAAGAAAAAAAGCTAAGAAATAAAATAGTTTAAAGAAAACACAAAACATTAAAACTTGCCTTCTCAGACTCCTGGTTAAGCAATCATGAAAAAGTATGAATTAGAATTGTTTAGGCTTTTTATTTATTTATTATAATCAGAATTATGAAAATGAGTTTAAATCTCTGAAAAGATATGAGAGGTAATCTTGGTCAATCATATATTCTGGAGAAAAATAAGACCTACAGTGGGAGCCATAAAACTGTGGAATAGGAAAAATATTAAATATTGTTAAAAAGCAAATAGTTCTACAGCAGCTTTTTAAGTGGAATGGGTCTGTGGTCACTGCACGATCTCAATGTTTCATGTTTATTAGATTATCTAGAATTATGGCTTGAGTCTAGCAGTCGTAATCCAGTTCCACAGTTGTATGGGTCTCACTGTTTATATTCTTAATACACCCCATGAAGAGCCCACCCACAAATTTGACTTGAGTAATTAAAGGGACTGTAATCACAATTTCAAGTGACCCACTGTGCAAAGATGACAATGCTCGATTCACAATGGTGCCCTTTAATGTTTTGTCTGATCAAGTATGAATTAGACATAAACATATAGAAATTATCATAACTAAACCATTTTAAACCTTGAAAAACTAAAATATTATCCACATTATTGATCAGATAAAGTTTTCAAAGGGGAATCAGGCATAGTCATCCTTGTACTGAGGGTCACTTGAAACTATGTGTTCAGTCCATTTAACTAATTTTAAATTAAAAATGTTGTTACCTGTTTAATGCCTCGATCTTAACCATCCATGGATCAACTTCATCCTTGAACTTCCTCAGCTCCTCAATCTGCTTCTTGACAGTGTCGATGTCGGTGCCAATGGCTCCCAAGTTGTCAAACTTCTTCTCACTCCTGGCCAAGAACTCAAGCAGGCTCTGGAGCATGTCATGGAACTCCATGGCCTTCTCCATAGCTTCAAACAGGTTCTGTTCACGTCTGGCATACATGGATGTGATATTGTCCCAAGCATGATCCAAATCTTCAATATGTCTCTTCAGCTCTGGCTTCTCTGAATCTCCAACAACATTGATGAGATTGTTCCCACTCTGCCTGCATTTTTCATAACCAGGTTTGGTGCTATCTATTCCTCTCTTAATCTCCTTTAGTTCAGCCTTCTGGGCCTCAATAGCTTTAGGTTCAACAGCTGGAGGATCCTGGGAATCAAGCTGATCTTGCAGATCTTTCAGGTTTGACATAACCTGCTGCAGCTCATCCCAGAACTTCTCAGCCAGGGCAAGAGCATCTTCAAGAGAATCTCCTCTGTTCTTTGCAAGTCCTTGAATTTCTTTCCAGAGGCCAGTCAATTTATCCAGCTTCTTCTTGATATCCTTGATGGCAGGATCCTGCTTGTTTGGAGCCTTTTGGATAATATCATCAGCTGCCTTGATAACAGCTTCATAAGCAACCTCCTTCTTTTCAAGATCATCTATGATGGCATTGTTATCATCCATCTGTTCCTTGATCTTCTCTGGGTGACCAGAAATGGGTTCAGCATGAACAAGCTGATCCTTGGTGTTCTCCAAGGAGTTCAGCATACCATCCAGCTTGTCAGTAAACTGGGAGCATTCATGCATAGCATCTTCCAAAGCTTGCATTCGCTCTCTAAGATCAGCTTTGATGTTGTTGTATCTCTGGTTGTCAGATTCAATAATGTCTTGAACTCTGTAGGAATCATCCTCAACAATCAACCTGAGAAGAGCACCTCCAGTTTTGTTTAGTCTGTCAACGACAGGCTTGTGATCCTGTACGGACTGCATTAGAGATCTTACTGTCTCTTGCTGTCTTGCTATCTGGTCAGGTCTCATGCTAGGATTCATCTGGTTCATAACCTCCCTTTCTATATCATCCAACCACTCATTAAGTTCAGCATGGGTTTCATAGAAGTGTTCTGCCAAAGGCAAAGCAGATTCTAGTATGTTCAACCTGTCAGAACTCAATTTTATGACAGTGTCCATTGTTTCCTTAAGATCTTCCATCTTTTCTCTAACCTGCTCAGTGTCAGCTGTTTGAGCACTTTCACGGAGTACCTTCTTGGCATTGGAGAGAACATCTCTGACGCGTCCCTTTTGACTTGAAATGTCATCATTAAGGGCTTTGTGCTCCTTCAGTTGGACACGAATAACCTCAGGTTCATGGGATGGAGGATCAGCTTCTCTGATCGTTTGTTCAACCTCCCTAAACCAGCTGAGTAGCTCATCAATGTCCCCAAGAACTTCTCCAGACTTCTGCTTGGCAAGAGCAATTCTTTCTCCTCTTCTCTGTACCTGTTCACAAATGGCATCAAACCTTCTGTTGTCTCGGGTTACCAATCCTTCAATGGTTCTAGCTCCCTCTCCAGGTGAGAGTTGACAGAGTTGAGGTCCAGTCAGATTAATTCCTTCAAGCAGAGGTTTGTGCTGTTGAATATCTCCTTCTAGTCTGTGAATCTCAGACTCTTGATCCTCCAGACTGTAAGTATCCAGAGACTGTAGGACACCCTCAACTCCCTCCATCCAGTCACTGATACGGTTGTGAGACTCATGGAAGTTCTGAACAAGAGGTAACATATCTTGAGCATTCTTAAGAAGATCAGATGCTTTGGATGCAAGATCATTGTACTTCCTTTGAAGTGAATCCAACTTATCCTTCAAAGAAAGAGCTTCTTCATTGGTGATGTGTTTCATCAGTTCAGTTCCAATAGCAAGAACATCATCAACTGCTGATTGTTTCTTGACAATTTCCTCTGTTACCTCATGAAGCTGTTCAGTTTGTTCCATTAGCTTCTCAGTGAAAACAGACAAAATCTTGAATTTGGAAAGTCTAGTCTCACAATCTTCCATCCATCCAAGAAGATCTTCATAGGCCATAACCAAGTTTCGGAGTCCAGCCATGGAATCCTGTAGAAGCTGTGCAATAGCATCTGAATTATGAACAAGGTTGGCATACCTATTGGTTAGTTCTTCAACCTTGTCAGCAAGCATCTGGGCATCTTCATCTCCAACTACTTGCATAAGAGCTGATGCTACATCAGCTAAATCATCAAAGTTGGATTGTTTTTCAATGATGTCATCATGAACAATTTCATGTTCCCTGATTCTCTTCTGAATTTGGTCTTCTTCAGTTGGAACAGTTTCCATCTCTTTAATCTTCTTTTCAGTTTTGTCCAACCATTTCTCTAGAGGACCAAGCTTGTCTGCATATTCCTTAGCCATCTTCATGGCATCCTCAAGGAGGGCCATTCTGTCAGAGCACTTCAAGTTGAGGCTTCCATATCTATCCTCTAGTGCTCTGATTTCTCCTTCAATCCTGCGTTTCTCAGCAGGGTCAGCAGAAGCAGCAATCTCTTGTCCTGTCTTGATCAGAGATGCAACAGCTCCCTTTCTGTCATGGAGAAGCTTCTGTACAAACTTCTGTTCCTGTACCTGGGCCTTCACCACCTTGTAGTCAGCAGATGGGGGCTTCTGATTGGTCATCATGTCTTCCATCTCATCCATCCAGGACATCAAACCATTCAAAGCCTCTCCATACTTACCCGATTGCAGCAAACCTTGGTCAAGCTTTCTTTCTCTCTCAGCAAGTGCCTGCTTCAGACTATTCCAGAGCTCATTCATCTTTTCAAGATCAGTTTCAATTCCATTTGTATTTACTCCACTGGCAGCAGACTGAATAAGACCCTGACCAGATCTGTTGGATTTGTCAACCTCCTTGCCCACAGCAGACACAACCTTTGCCTGGAACTGCTTGAACTGTACGAGCTGAGACTTGATTGTCTCTGTATCTCCAGCAACGGCTCCAAGGTTCTTTTCCTCTCTTACAACTTCTTGTATGTCATTCATAACAGTTGCATAGTGATCATAGAAAGCTTGAACCTTCTTGATCATCTCATCAATATCCTTGTCTCTAGATACTCCTCTCTGTTCTAGTTTTTCAATGGATTTCTGCAATCCAGAAACTGTGTCTTGTAATTCTCTTGGGTTAGGAACCACTCCAGAATTGATCAACTGTTTGCTATTTTCAATAAGTGCAAGAATATCCTTCTTCTTTCCACCAATGCGTTGCAGGAAGCTGGAAACTTCTTCTTTCTGCTTGTACAGAGCCTTAAGCTCTCTAGCAATAGGACCCATCTTGTTCAGTTCATCATCAAGCATAGCGAGTGCATTTCCAATATCCTTTGCAGCTTCATTAAACTCTCCCACAGCTGCTCCAGCATTCTTCAGATCTTCAGCCTTATCCTCAAGCCTATCTCTCAGGTTTCCAAGTCTGTCACCAAGACCATTTACAATGTCTGCAATGGGTGATCCATCAGCTCCAAGAACATCAGCATCAGTGAGAAGATCCTCACCAGTCTTTTGGACTTTTCCAAAGTCTTTCTCAAGCTCCTTGGCCTCCTCCAGAAGACCCTTTATTTTGTCTAGAAGTCTAGGATCCTTGTTAGCTCCATCAGTTTGCTTCAATTTATCTTCAGCTCTCTGGAGACCATTAGATAGATCTCTAGCATTGTCATTGAAGTCTCCTAGTTTTCCAATGAGATCACTGATAGCTTGTGCGCGCTCAGAGATGAAGTAATTAAGATGGTCCCATCTTTCTTTCATGTGAGCCAATTCTTCTTTAACAATCTCCTTGTCAGTGTCACAGGAAGACTGGAAAGTATCTCCACTACCATGGTTCAAATCATATTCTGAAGAATGACGATTAACATCATTCCTGAATGATTGAAGTTCCTTCTCCTGCTTCTTAAGTTCAGCAAGAACCAAACTAATAACTTCCATCCTTTCAAGCTGGGCCTCTGCCTTCTCTAACCAGGGAAGGAACTTTTCTTGGGCTCCATAGAACTTCTTACAATACTCCATGCAGATGTTCAACTTGTTGTGACGATCCTGAGAAATCTTCTTTACCTTCTGCCAGGACTTTTCAACAGAATCTAGGTTCTTCTTAATGTTGGCAACATCTGCCTTGGGGGCCTTGGCAATGATATCTTTTCCTCGGTTGAGGATCATGATAATTTCATGTTCCTTGCTCATCACCTCCTTATAGATAGGATCAAATTCAGCCACCTGCTCAATCAAGGTCTGTCTATCAGCAGAGATAGAGAACTTGTCAGAGAGAATACCTTCCATCTCTCTGAGCCAAGCCTGGGCATCAGCACATTGGCCTTCAAACTCCTTTCCTTCCTTAGCACTGTTTTCAAGTTCAGCAAGTGCATTGTCAAGCTTCCTTTGGCAGTTGTTGAACTGTCTTTCTACCTGTCCCATCTTACCCTTGATTTCTGATTTAGAGGCAGGGTCAGTCAATATCTGCTGCAGTTGATCGCCAAGAGACATGACCTCAGAAAACAGAGGTCGCTGATCATCAAGAGTTTTGGCAACTGCAGTCAATGCCTTCAGCTTGGCTTCAGCATCGCCCTTACTTACAGCAATATCATCCAGATCATCACTGACCTTGCTCAAGTTGTCAGCAAGTCTGTTGGATAAGTTCAGGAAGTCTCTTGTTGGGCCAGAGATAGCTTCAAGAGCTCTTTCTCTCTCCTCCAGCTGGCTGAGTAGATCATCCCACTTACCATTAATATTATCAAGCTTCTGCTCAATGTTTCGGCCATCAGCAGAGGCTCCCGCAACCTCAAGGATATTTTCTCCAATGTCATTAAATCTATCCTTGCTAGGCTGCTTCTCATTGAATTCTTCCTTCATCACCTGAATCTGGCTCATCTGATTCTGCACAAGTCTTGGGTCAGAAGCAATGGGTCCCAGAATGTTCATCAGCTTCTCCTTCGAGTTCAACCAGTTGTTAAGGTTATCATGAATGTCATGGAAGTCCTTCATTTCATCCAGCATGCTGGCTCTAGCCTTGCATCTCTCCTGAAGATCCTTCCATCTCAGGCTGACCTCATTAAGAGTATCATCAAGTATCTCAGAGCCTGGAGCTTCAGGATTCTTCTTCAGAAGATCCTTGATATTAACCCTGGCAGTGTCAAGCTGACCCTGGTTCTCATACAGCTGATCAAGAATTGCTTTGAGCACCTTGAGCTGCTTATCTGCCTCACGCTTGTCGGAGGGAATGGAGTCCTGAGGGAAGTTCCTCTCCTGTTTCTCCAGGAATGTTGCAAGATTCTTGAGGAGCTCGTGGTATTTCTTTACATCATCCCTCATGTTGGTCAGCTCACTGTCCCTGTCTCCCAACTTGATTCCAATCATGTCATACCTAAACCAAATGTAATAAGTCCATTTGCAAAAATAAGCTTATTAACTCTCCTTAAAGTTTAGCCAAAAGTTAAGATATTACCCCCCCCCCCCCCCGCCCCTCCCATCATCAAAGACAGACAGCATATTTCTTGATTAACAAGGTTGATATTGTTCTTTATTTAACATTGCCTGTTTTTGCCTTTAAATTCATTAAAAACCAATTTTTTTCTTTTTGAAATTTGATAATAATTATTGGTTGTTTAAAATCCTAAAAGAGTATTAAACTAACCTTAAAGCAATGAATTAATCCAAAAGATTTGCTTCAATATTTTAAAGTTTAACAGGTCTTCAAGTTTAAAAAAATATTGTTGAAAATTAAAATATTGCTCATTTGTTTTTTAAATCCTATAAAATTATTAAATAGTTAGTTTCCTTGTAAATTTGCTTAAAACTATATAACCAATTAATTAAAAAAAAACTTTGCAAAAAAAGCCTGTAAGAAAATTGATAAGAAATTTAAATCAAAATGCTAGTATCCTACCTATTGTTGATTTCAGCAAGCTGGGTTTGAATGGGACTGGCTTCTTGGAACATTGGCATACCAGACTCCCTTCGGAGAGGACTTCCAGGAGGTCCAAATTTAGGGGAGGCAGAGGCCCTTCGTGACCCTCCGCTTAGCAGGGATGGAGTTAGAGAAGGCTTCCTAGGAGACATACTTGATCTCCTGCTCAAAGAACCCATATCTATTGATCCTCTCATCATGTTATCATACTGCATTCCCAGTTCATTCAGTTTATCAATGGTTTTGCTGTATCCTGTATACTCCTGGACCAATGGTTTAACATCATTGATCTGCTTGTTGAGCATGTCTAAATCAAGAGCTATGGGATCAAGATCTTCAATCCTGCTCTCCATTTTGTTCAGCCAGGCAAATACTTGTTCTCTTAATGCTTCATATGCATTCAGAGACTGTTTTCTAGCCCTGTTACTAGCTTGTCTTTCTCCTAGGATATCACCAAGCTCTCTCCACTTCTCCTCAAGCTCCTTGATGGTATCCTTGCAAGGACCAGCATCAGTTACATCCTTCTTGGTCACAAGTGCCTTTCCGTTCTTGATCATCTCATCATATTGAGGTTTCATCTGCTCCTTTCTACGCACAAGTTCATCAATCTTAGCAGCAGATTCATCAGCATTCATCTGAAGAAGTTCCTTAGATTCAAGGAAGTCAATAGTTTCAAGATACCAGACCTCAAAGCTCTCAACCTGGCTGGTGAACACCTCAAGTACAGTGGACACTTCATTGAAGAAAATCTCTCTTGTCTGAACAGTTTTAACAAGGGTTTCAAACTTTTTCTGAACCTCTTTTACCTTGGTTTCAATCTTCTTAGTCTCCCTGACATTACTGGAGCTCTGGATAAACTGCTGAGCGGATTCATACATCTTATGGATTGAAGGTTCATGTGACTCAACATCAGATTTTAAGACATACAGTTGTCTAATCTGCTCATCCAACCTCTCCCTGATCAGACTTGCAGGCTTCATAATTTGAGCCAGCATGTTATCTGTGCTGTCCAACCAGTTGGCAATGTTGGCTAGTGCATCCTGCACTCCTTGGCAGGCAACTAGTGCGCTGTCCAAATCTGCGCACCTTTCATTCATCATTAGACGCAGTGCATCATATCTCTGCTGGAGTTCCAGAGGGGTCTGTTCGATCAACCTTCTTTCCTCCCTTGACATCTGACTGTCGTCCAATGAAGCAAGAAGGTTTGCTGCGGCCTGCTTAGCATCATCAATAAGTTTAGCATTGGCGATAATCTCGTTATTAAGAGCTTTAGCCCTGTTGAGTTGGTCTTCTACAACTCTAGGTTCGGCAGCCACGGGCTCATTGCAGATCTTAGCAACCTTGGGCTCAGTCTCCTTCAACCACCTCTTCGCCCGGTCAACAGCATCATTGTAATCCTTGTACTTTCCACCAACCATAGAGAAAGCATCTGAGAGCGCATTGGCGCGCGCCAGGAGGTCATGGTACGCAGAGCTAACATGGTTGACCTCTTCAGAAACAATCGACTCAGTGATCTTGAGGTTGTTCTGTCTGAGCACCAGTCTAAATTCGTTCAAAGAGCTGACGTACTCCTAAAAAATATTGAAATGAAATAAATTTGGCAAGAACAGGCACAAAAAATAGGAAGAAAAGGAATAAATTTTTTATATAAGTATAAAAATAACCGCCAGATTAATATGAATGTTTGAATGAGATCAGAGGTGTTAAGATATGTTTGCTCTTATTTGTTGACTCTCTAAAGTAAAGAAAAGTATGACCATATTGACATATCAAGTATATGCAAACTTTGCAGGATTTAAAAAAGAAAAAAAACATTTTTTTAAGAAATGCAGCTAAAAGAAAACCTTAACAAAAAACGACATTTTAAAGTTACTCTTACCTTAGACAGCGAGACAAACTTCTGTCCTGAAATTGAGAGGAACTTGAGATCAGCGCCGTGGGTCATCACGTCGCTAACAAACTCCTTGATGTCGTCAGCCTTGCCGGACACCTTGTTCAGGTTGGCCAACTGCTTCTCCTTGTCCTCCAGGACCTTGTACGCCTTCTCCAACCAGTTCCTGACAACGTTCATTATTAATTTAAGGGTCTGTCGACGTAATTTAAAGAAACTATCCATTTAAGGAGTGACATGTCAGATTCACAACAATGCCCAGTAGTCCTTTAAATTTTGAGAATATAATAATATTTATGAATGTATTATCAATATCATTAATATCATCAAAGAAATTATAGTAAGATTGTTAGCATTGTTTTAAGGGATCAATGTCATCTATTGTTAGATTTAAATTGAACCATTTTGAATCATTTATGACACTTTGAAAGTTATTGGTTGCTAAGAATGAAACAGTAAAAAGTATTTTTTATTTTTAAGGAGAAACAAGATATTTTTTTTTAATGATGAAAATCAACCAACCTGAAAGCGGTGACCTCTGAGTTAAACTTGAGAAGCTCTTCATGAGCAGAGACGAGGCGCTTGAGCAGCTTGTCGCTGTTGTTAGACACATTGTCGTAGCGAACCTTAAGCTGTTTCCCTTCCTGCTGGAGTTTATTGAGTTCAGCAGAGCTAAGAACATCAGCTCCTGTCTCTACTAGCTCAGCAATAATATCAAGAGTGTTGTTCACAGGACGGTTATGTTCATCAACATCATCTTTAATCTCCTAAACAAAAACAAGGTTGAAATTAACAAATCTAGAAAATTAATAAATTCGAATTATTCATATTTGTGCAAATCATTGAAATATAGAAATTACAGAGTTTTGCATATTTATGTAAAGAAATTGAGTCGTTGCCACAAACTCAAATTTTCGAATGCCAATATCTAAGGTTTACGACTTTGGGTTGCAAAGATATAGGGATTAGAAAATCAGAGTTTGTGACTAAGATTCAATTTCTTTACTCACGCTTTTTGCATTTCCACTTCTATAAAGAAGACGATGTTTGGTCTCTTTAAATTTCTTTTTGCGGTTGCTTGAGAGTTAAATTAGAATTTAGCTTTGATATGATCGCATTTAATTTTGAGAAGATTTAACTATTAAACTTGACAAACTTTATAAATCCCACCATATCCACTGTTCCGTAAATAAAAACCCGTTCTTTGTTATGAGTAAATGTAAAGCATCAAGTGTGCAATGTTCATGCACAGTGCACACAGTAGGACACGAAGATACCATCTTTGTATGACCAGGAAATAAGAAATAACAGGTTTACAATCCAAGGATGATAAACAATGGATAGGGTTGCTTGTCAATAACACTATATATAGAATAAACATATAACGAAGATGCTGCAAAAAAAGGAGATGAAGAAGGTTTGGACTGCTAGTCAACGATACTAAATATAGGATAATCATAAAGCAATGATACTGGAGAAAGGAAGATAAACAAAGTTGTTGGCCAATGATACTAAATATAGGAAACTAAAAACGAGAATGCTCAAATGCTAATTCAGAAGGTTTAAAACTGTAAATATGTGATAAACATTATAAAGCAATAACACTGCAAGAAGGACAGGTTCAATGAAACTTTCTAAAGAATAAACATGAAAAAATTAAAGTAAAGAATGTAAAAAATAGGAATCTGATGCAAGGATTTAACAAAGATAATGCAAAAGAAATGATTATATATATTGAATGGGGGGGGGGGTTAAACCCAATAATTTGAGGGTAGGGAGATATATATATATATATAAAATATGGTATGCAACGGGTTGGATACCCATATATAGATCAGTTTAATGGGTGGAAGTATGGAGGAATAAATACTCAGTTAGAATTCTAGATAGAGATAGATAAATATCTAAAATTTGGATAGATAGATAGAAATTGAACATTTAGATAGATAAATATCTAAAAGTTGGATAGATAGATAGAAATTGAACAGATAGATAGAGAAATATTGAACAGTCAGATAGACAGATAGAAATTGAACAGATAGATAGAGAAATATTGAACAATTAGATAGATAGATAAATAAAAACATCGAAAGATAAATAATTAGATAGAAATATTTTATATAAATATATCAAAAAGATAGATATTTAACAAATATCTAATAATTTAATCTTTAAAAAGAAAGGTAAGAAATCATAGATAAAAAAACATAAAAAAGAGAAAAAATAGAAAGATATTTTCTTTCAAGGATAAAAGATGAAAAGTATTACGGGGGGGGGGGGCTGTGTCTTTTATTAACTTCTTCATGAATGACATGTCAAGTCATCAGCCTTGTTTATTGTAAGTTATATTATACACTGGTAAATATTTACTTAAGGTTTATATCATCAGCTTTCAGACATTAATAAAAATACATTTGTTTAAATAGAGATCTTAAAGGAATACAGGAAACTCTGATATCTTAATCCCTTTTTCTTTGAAGCCTAATGTCATAGATCTTATATATTTAAGTTAATAAATGGTTTACGCCATGAGGTTCCAAAGATATAAGGATTAAAAAATTGAGTTTCTGACAAGAACTCATGTACATTGTACATTGTACATTGTACATTGTACATTGTACATTGTACATTGTAAAAGGTAGAAAACTAAAAACTAAAAGTAAATGGCGACTACAAAGGAATCCAGGGATGAATGCATAAATGTGTTTTAATATAACCAAGTTCATCTTGTCTGAATCTAACCCCCCCCCCACAATCCGGTAAAGATCATCTGAATGCAATGACCCAAATGTGCCAGTTCAGAGAAATATATTGGAAAACACGCCAAACTCAATACAAGAAACACATTTTTCATTTTACATCTAAATAAAATAAATTTTCGAAAACATTTTTAAAAATGTATTTGACTTTTGGAGGTTAAGGACCAAATTGGCATATTTCAAACCAAAACTAAATAAACCTTGGCTTAGTGAGAATCAGAATAAAATTGGAGTACTCCAAACTAAAACTAAATAAGCATTAGTTCGGCGTGAACAGATCACCGAGCATATAAACAACCTTGGTAGGTTCTGCAAATAGATCTGAGACTAAGATAGAGAATTCAAATTCCTCCCCCCCCCCCTCTCAACCCAAACCCAAACAATAAGCCATACTCCTTTTAGGCCTTCAATCCCCCCCTATCATAAGATTAAAAAATCAAAGCAGACCAAACTGTCGATCAAACAAAAATTTTCCATAGAAAAAAAACCCTTATAAATAGATGATGAATTTTTCTCAAAAAGGGGAATGTTTAGGCTTTTTAAATATTGATCCTGAACACTCCCAAGAAACTGTAACCCACCTTGAACCCATTGATCTGGTTCCTGAGTTTATCTGAATCCTCCCTGGGAACCTCCTGACTGGCAATCTCCCTCTCAACCTTCTCCAACCACCTGTTTAGGTTCTCCAGGTTCTCCCCGGCCTGCCTGTACTTCTCCTGCACCGCTTGCTGCAATAAGAACACCAGTAAGTACAGTTTAAAGGGACTGTAAACATAATTTAAAGTCACCCTGCATCTATAGTGAGACATGTAAGATTCCCAACGGTACGGTCAGAGCAAAAATGACTAAGATATTCTTGTTTTTCTATCTAGAAATGCTCAATTTTAAGTTGTTACGTTTTAGGATAGAAAGAACACGATGATATCTTCCTCGATGTTGATCCGATCCTTTTTGTAAAGGATATCATTGTGAATCTGCAATACAACTCTATAGTTGAGGGGTCACTTGAAATAACGTTGTCAGTTGCTGTAATTATAGAATAAACACAAGAAAACCTCAAACTTTTAAATAAAAAGTGTAACACAGATTGCGGGAGAAACGTGAACTTTTAAAAGTTTTGTGGATTTCTCGTGTATTTTCATTGAATTAGGAACCAGATTTAAAGATTTTTTTATTATTAAAATAATATCTATAATGGTAATTAATAAAAATAAAAAAAAACAAGAATAGTAACAATAATAATAATAAAAATCAAATGCATCTTTGATTAGAAAACTAAAATCTTATTAAGTCTGGTTCCTCTATATTCATGCAAAAAACAATGCAAGAAAAACAGAATATAAAAAATTATGTAAAAAATATTATAAAAAGACACTTCCTAGGTTCTATGTACAAAGGATACCTTATATACACGTGGTCTACGTTCACGGTTTTTATGTACAAACAGAAGATAATATGTAACTGTTAAAATGCTGCAAATCATAAAAAACACTACTGTCTTGTACACACTGATTAGTCCTAACAGATCCATGCTACGCATGTACATATCCGTCAGCTATGTACACATGTACAGGTTGTCCGAGTGTTATGTTGGTTGGGACACCCTGTATCATGTTATCTACTTGCTAGTTGTTTGTTAGTCGCATGCAGACTAAACTCTTAGTATTAGTCACAACTATCTCTAGTTTTCAGCTTTAAACAAATAAAAAAATAAAAGTTCTTGATAAAAAATGGATGCATTTGTTACAAAAATAAGCTTGAAACTTAAGAGAATAGATGCAGGAGAACTAATTATAATAAGCTTGGATTAACCAGAACCAAGGGTTGGATGCAAGGGACGGATTCTCCAGGTCCCTCTTACCATAGCATCCACAGATAACAGATATCCTCTAGATCTGGCCTCCAGGAGGTTCATTGACCCGTACATCCCGGTCAACCCGTCAATATCCCCGAGCTGGAGCGCCTCCATGGTGCTCACAAACCTACTCGACTTCCTGTTCTTTACAATGGTCAGTTTGTGATCAATTATACGGGATTCTATGGCCTCGGAGATGCTCATTTCTATCTCTAATCCTGGAACTAGAATCTTTCCACTGTAGGGTTGATACATCCCGAAATCAAGAGTTTCAATCAGACTCAGATTAGAAATATCTCTGATAATGATGTTCATCTTGATTGCTTCCTCTACACTCATATACTTACCCTGAGTAGTATTCAGAACTAAACCATCCTTAATAATATTCTTCCTAGTTGCTTCTGACAAGCTGCAGTGCTTACGCTTCCAGGTGTCAATGACAAAAGCAGATTTTTTATCAATATATTTTCTGAAAATTGCTTCCTCAAGCTTCAATTTCTTTCCCTCCTCGTGGGTTGAGAAGAAAAGACCTGTGTGCGTATTAAGTTGTCCGTTCTCAATAGCATCCCAGAAATTGATGGAGTCAAAGGGAGAAGAGGGCGGTGATACCTCCTTCTTTACATCTTTGATTAATCCCCTTTCATAAGCTTCAAGCAGGTTCAGCTCAGTGTGATGTTCAATATCTAGAACTTTACAGGTCTCACGATGCAGGATCCGGGTATTAAGAGCAGAGCTAAGATGGGTAAAAACTCCAGTCTGAGTATTTTTAATCTCAGCAGATCTAGGATCAAGCATACCGATACTTAGAGCTTCCTCAATGGTAACATGCTCTTCAGTAGACATGACAAAGAAGAGTCCAGTGTCTGTCTGATAAATGCCCTCGTCCACTGCTTCTCTAAGAGTATAGATTCTGCCTGGATAACGAACTTTTTTCTTTTCAAATACAGCTTCTGGGAAAAGAGCTACTAATCCTTTCTTCGCAGCATCTCCCAAAAACATGGTTTCATTTGTTTCTTTAATTGTGTACTCGCAAGTAACTCCATTTAAAACCTTTATATCAAGAGCTTTTCTAATTGTGAGATGGGATGATGAAGATACATCAAAGATGATGTCATCTCCATTGATCCAGTTCTCATCAACTGCCTCCTGTAGAGTGTAGGACCTACTGTGAGATTTCCTAACAAACACTTTCTCTTCCATATTAAACAAATGGACAAATGCATCTCCAGCAGATATACCATCAACATCAAGATCAATAAATGACTCGTCAATGATCTCTTTAAAGTCAGTGATGAGAAGCCCACACCTAATAGCTTCAGCAATAGGTATATTTAGACCAGTTGCTGGGTTGATAAACACATTGGAGCTGAAATTGATCAGATTCCTTGATACAGCTTCAGTTACAAACATCTTGACCTGCTTGGTAACCACCTCCTCCTTATTCCCTTGGATATCTGAAGCTATGCCTCTAAGCTTGGCCTCGTAAATTGACATTACTTCTCCTGTCTGGAGGTTTCTAACCTCATCAAGGCTTGACAAAGCATATCCTTGTTTCAGATTGACAATTTTAGTTTTCACAGAATGGTTTGATCTCTCCATCTCTCGAACACTTTGAATTGATTCTTCCATCTGCTCTCTCCTGTTCACATCTACGGTAAGAGTAGAGGAGTACTGGGAGGACCTGGAGTCTCCTGCAAATGATTCCTCCGAAGTTGCTCGACTAGAAGACGAGGATGCAGCTGGTTTTCTGGAGCTGATGGAGGTTTCCATCTCCTGGATATTGGTCATCCTACTGCTTCCCCTAGAGACAGGACTACTAGCTCTAACCACAGAGCTAGGTCTGCTTTCTGATCCTTCTCTTCCTGTGTTCAAACTAGACATTGAACCATAGTTGGAGAGACGACTCTTCTCTTCCTTCATCCTGAGAAACTCCTCAACCTCTTCGGTTGTAACAATACCTCGACGAATGGCTTCATCAGAAGGTATTTCTTCTCCAGTTCTTGGATCTAGGATCAGAACCATCATGGACTCCACTGTCTTGTCTGTAGTAACCTCCTCCTTATACTGCTGAGCAGTTTCTTCTGTAACTAATCCCCTTCTCACAGCCTCATCCAGAGATATCTCTTCTCCAGTTCCTGGAACCTCAACAGTGAAGGATGATATACGGGTTGTGGTTACTCCGGACTCTACTATCCTAGCATGGATGGTTCCATCCCTAAGGGTATCTCTCTCAACTGTTATAATCTCATCTTCATGCTCATCCCTTCGGATTTCAGATTTCTTGCTTTCAGATCTGTATTTGTCATATGCCATCTTTCCAGCAATTACTGGCGCTGCGGCTAGAGCAACTGGAGCTCCCACTAGGGCAACAGCTCCAATCTTAAGAGCCTCCAATATGTTTATTCTCTTGGAACCTCCAGTATATTCTCCAGTAGAGTTATCTATCAAACCCTTAGAAACTGCTTCAAGTATGTTCACCTTAACATTTTTTTGATTTTATCCACAACACACTTTTTAATATTTATCAAAAACTCAGTTTTTTTTCTGGTGTCAGGTTTAAAATAAGATTTAATCTGTAAGTGTTTCCGGGCATAAGGACAATAAGAATGTAAAAATAATTTTTTTTTGCAACGTTTCCAAAATAAGAACCTTAACATAACTGTTCTTAAGAGTAAAGACATTCTTAACAAAAATAAAAAATAAGATTTTTGTTGTTTGNGCACTCCCTTTAATTTCATACTTAAAAAAAAAACATTTAAATGAAATTAGTTTTTGGCACAAACTCTAATTTTTTAATGCCTATATCTTTGCAACCAGATGTCGTAGACCTAAGATATTTAAAACTATAACTTCTGTTAGATCAAATAGTCTAAGTTTGAAATATCAAAGGTTTACACTAGTAGGTTGCAAAGAAAAAGTGTGTAAGAATATTAGAGAGCAAAGTTTTTTCACACTTTTCCCTTTAATTTACTTTTTAAATTGGGAAAATAAAAAAATTCATATTGTGCCAATTTCATAGAAAACATTAAATAAACAGTAAAACTATCCTTCCTTAAAAAAAGGGTGAAACTGATTTCTGTAAAATGTAGATTTTAAAATCAAAAGAAATCCCTCCCTGAAGTCCGGAGTCTGGGTCTGCCACCTTGATATCAGTTGGCAATATCTTCCCTTCCTTCAGGGCAGACATCAGCTCTCCAGGTTGTATTTCAGGGTTCACTTCATAGCTTCCTTTCTCCAGGTCATACCGGATATTCTCAGTAAGGTTCTGGGTGTAAACCACGTGTGATCTCCGGGTTTCAGTTTCTCTGAACTGGAAAAAACTTACGAAATGTAGATCAATGGCCTCTCTCAGTGAAATCCTGTTCCCGGAGTAGGAGTAGTGTCCTGTTGTATCCAGGATTGAACTCTCTAAAGCTCCCGCCAAGGAATATTTCTCAGAGTCCAAGGATACAGTGGCAGAGTTGCTGTTTATCAACCCAAGATCTAAACACTCTTTAAAAGAAGTTTCTCTGTCTGTTCCCGGGATCTTGAAGAGTCCAAGGACAGGGTCTAGAAGCTCTTCATCTATAGCATCCTTGAGTGTGTATCCATCCAGGGGAGGATTATAGGATCCAACCTCAACCTTGATGGGTATACTTGTAGAGGAAGATTTAAACGAGTAATCATGTTTAGACTCAGCAGAGATGAAATCACTTCTCTCCTCCATTCTCTGTTCAAAACTGTCATGGCGGCTCAGTTTACCAATCCCATTGGCTTTTTCGGGGGTCGAAGCCTTGGATTTTTGAGGAGATTGTTTATTAGAACTGGTGGATAATCTGCTACTAGGACGGGACGTTTTCTCCGGAGAACCTTTCCTGGAGTTTATGGCGGAGGTTAAAGCAGATACTTGCCTGGAACTTGTGGCTGATACCTGCTTAGAGTTATTGGCGGAAGTTGTGGCAGATATCTGTCTGGAATTGTTGGCAGAAGTTGTGGTGGACATCTGCTTAGTTGAGGCAGATGAGCCGTTGGTTGAAGAATGCGTAGATATATTCCTAGAAGAGGATTGTGAAGACGACATCTTCATAGTTAGAGATGTTGATCTTGACTCTCTTGCTTGACTTTCCTTCAAGAACTCCTTGGCAGAGTTCAGAGACTTGGGTGGAGAAGAGGCTCTTGAGGAAGCTGATGAAGACTTCCTAGAAGCAACAGAGGATGTAGAAGCTTTCCTAGTAGAGGAAGCTGTTGATGATTTCCTGACTGAGGATTGTGAAGTTTGACCCAACCTGACCATACCCAAGTTAATTGCCTCATCTAGAGCAATATCCAAACCTGTTTCAGGGTCTGTAAACATCCCAGTAGCCTCGTTAATAAACCCTCCTTGGAGAGCTTCCTGGAATGAGATAGAATTCTCTGTCCTCCGGTCCTGTTTGTCCTCCGCTGAAGAGGACACTTTTATAGTTCTTCTTACTGTTTGTGTAACAGTTGCTGTGGTGACAGTGATGTTCAGCAGGCTTTTCAGAACAGCAGCTCCCATAGGAGTGATCAAGTTATTGGAAACAGCAACCTCAAGAGGAAGAGTATGTTTGGAGGCTGGATCAATGAGGAGGCCGGAAAGAGGATCTAAACGTTTATTCATGACTGCCTGAAGCAAGGTTAGTTCAGTTCCCATAACAACTATTCCAATAGGACGCTCCAACATATCCAGGAGTTGGTTCTGGATATAATCCTTATCCGAGGCTTCATGCAGGGTCATTCGGGTCATTGTCTTCTTATCAAAGAAGGTTGAGTTGGATTTATCAATGATCCGTAGCTCCAGGGCCTCGTTAAAACTGATGTAATCCTCTGTGGTTGGGTTCTTGATACCTTCAATCTCAAATATAGTTTTCTGAGAGACAGAAGTTAGGAATCCTTTCTTTACAGCTTCGGGGAGAGACATTGATTCAGCTGTCAGGGTATCAGAGAATCTAGCGTTAGGGTTGATTATGTTCTTGCCCAGGGCCTCCCCCAGGCTCACATACACCTCCCCCTTCACGTCCCTCACGGACTTCAGCTCATAGTCCAGGAAACCTCGGCCTACAGCTCCTAGTAGGCTCAAAACCTCTCCTGTTATAGGATCCTTGACTTGACCGTCCTCTTGAATAAATCCTTGGTCCACACTATCCTTGACAGTGAGCGGTATTTGAATCTTGTTAAGTTTAGCAGCTTGATCTAGAGGAATAGGTCCTGTACTACTCAGATATCTTCCAGTCTTTGTATCAATAATACCAGATGACAGAGCGCTTTCTAGAGTAATCTTAAACCCTTGCTTCTCATCATACACCTCAAACTTATCCTTGTTGATCAAACCACGTTCTATTGCTTCATCCAGAGAGAAGGCAAGGCCTGTGTTTCTATCTGTAATCTTCCCATCGGTGGCGCGAAGCACCCCTTGGCGCACAGCATCAGATAGGGTTAGACCACAGGATGGAACACTCTCAATATCAATTAACCCTTGGGTTATTGCACGCGGAAGAGTTAAATGTTTCCCTTTCGGATCATACACTCCGGATACTGGGTCAATTAAACCAGTTCGGATACAACCAATTAATGTTTGTTTGTTTGCTTTACTTGACGCCATATTGTCTTGCAGTACACCTAAGTCTTGCAGTACGCTTACCTTTTTCTGTAGAATAAATCCAAGTTTCACCGCATTTTCGACAGAAACTTGTTCGCCTGTCAGAGGATCGATGAAAGATTTGGATTTAGGATCAAACAGACCCTTGTCGATCGCTTCGAGAAGGCTGATCTGTCGGCCTGTCTTAGGATCGAATACCCCGCAGGTATTTGACAAAAGTTCGCCAAGTTTTGGGTCTATAAGATTGCTCGACGCAGCTTCCTCTAAGCTTAGTCGAACACCTGTGTTGGGATCGACAAACTCTCCAGTTTTTGTGTCGAAAAGTCCGGATTTGATTGCCTCGTCGAGAGAGACTGGTTTTCCGGTGGAGGTGTCGACAAAACCTTTTGAGACCAGGGGCGACAATTCTAATCTTTGTTTTGATTCTACGACGAAATCTGGTTCATCACCATTTAAATAATTATTTGTATCAACGACTTTATGTTGCGAGCCCTTAGATAATTTTCGGTCTTGTTTCTCTGCACTCCTAAACAAACAAAAAAAGTGGTAAAAAAATGAACATAAAAGGTAATTTGTAAAAGTTTATTTATCTAACTTTTTTTTATACTGACAATAATGATGGAAAACATTATAATAATAATAATGATAATGATGATGGAAAACATTTTAATAATAATGATAATGATGATGGAAAACATTATGATAACAATGATAATGTTGATGGAAAACATTTTAATAATAAAGATAATGATGATGGAAAACATTATGATAACAAAGATAATGATGGTGGAAAACATTATAATAATAATGATAATGATGATGGAAAACATTTTCATAATAATGATAATGATGATGGAAAACATTATGATAACAAAGATAATGATGATGGATAACATTTTAATAATAATGATAATGATGATGGAAAACATTATGATAACAATGATAATGATGATGGAAAACATTATGATAATAATGATAATGATGATGGAAAAAATTATGATAATAATGATAATGATGATGGAAATTATTATAATAATAATGATAATGATGATGGAAAAAATTTTAATAATAAACATTGGTTGATAAACAGAATTAATTGTCCAATTACTTTTATGCATAGTTTACTATGACTAGTATTAGATTAAGATGATAAAAAAGCCAAGTTTAATCCATTTAGACAAGATCTAAAGCTGTCAGTCCAATATATTGTCAAACCAAAAGCAAACCCCCAATGTCAGCTCACAACACAAACAAATGCTTGACAAGTTGGCATTTTCAAATAAAATTTTTGATTTAAGAAAGTTAGTTGAAGTAGCTGGATGATAAGAAAATGAGTATCTAAACCACCTTGAGGGAGGGGTGGAATCACTTAAGCTTCAATCACATCAAATCAATTTAATTTGAGAAATAATTTCGTGGATTTTCATATTTGTTCAATGGCGGATTTAATACGTGAATTTGGCGGATTTTCAACTAACAATATTTTGGTTGATTTAAAAGGGAAGGTCCGGCAGGTATGGAATCGACTTCTATACTGCCAGATTAACATTAAGATTCAGATGACGTCATCCAAAGGCACAAAACAGGCAGGTGTGTAAAGGGAGGGGGAGGGGCGGGGGTTATAAATAGATATATTAAATTCTTTAAAACGACCAACTTGTAAACTATACTCAACAGTCTTTTATCTTCTATTTTAAAGATTTTTTTCAAGGATTAATTCATAAACTCTCAAATTACAAGTTAAATGGATGACTAAATCTGAAAAAACAAGATTAAAGGAACCGAAGGAAATTAATTAAACAACTTTACATCTATGATTCACCCCCTTCCTAAACCACTCACACACCTTTTCAGAGTTGTATCTATCTATTGAACCCTCAACAAAGATTGAGATTATAAACAGGTTTAAGAATCATTAATATCTTTGAAATCAACCCTCTCCACTAAACAGACGCTTTTAATACCTTCAATAAAATTTCCTCTATTGCATTAATCTTGCTTCAGGCATTTTAAACACTTTTTCCGCAAAATTATGACCTCATTCCACTAAGATGTGAGTCATTCCCTCATCTCATCCGAAACGGCCCGTGATTTCATCCTAAACCCCTACACGTGATATCATCCCGTGATATTTTGTTCAATCTCAATTATTTCTTGTGAAATTCCAAATAAGGAAATAACCTCTAATCCTTGTTGTTTACGCCCTCCTCCCCCCTCAAATTAATAATTTACCCATTAAAGGCGTTGCTGCTATTTTTTCCTCTTACAAGTAACGTATCCGGCAACATAATATGATCACAGATAACTAGTCTGAGAAGGGGGGGGAGGGGGGGGGATAACCATATTTGGATATAATTGAGATGTGACGTCATAGACCTAAAATTCGACCCACCTATACGTGCACATAAAAACAAAAGATACTGCATGTAACCTTCAGACACTTTTTATTCCATCTAAAATAAACTAATAGAAATACGAGTCAACTATGCAAAAAAAAGGGGGGATGGGAGCAGTTAGGAACAAATTGTAATTTTTCTAGACACTATCTTTGCAACTTTATGTTGAATGTTTATATTTAAAACTTTGGCAAATTTGATTTAGCAGAATTCATATTTTAAAATATATTAACATCTGGTTGCAAAAAATATGTTGATTAGGGCAGTAAATGGGAAATACCAACTGTATAACAGATAGACCTATATAGAGTAGTGTGTGAAAGGGTAATATAAGATAAAATCTTCTCCTAGAGTTAGACGGGCGTATTTTATATCCTGACATCTGTGGGTGTTAAACAAACTTAAAGCGTGGGCGCTTTTCCTTCAAGGAGTCAAAGAAACCTGAGAAAGAAATTCGAGAAGTTAAGAATGAAAACCTGCTCTAACCCCCACCACCACCTCCATTTTTCGTCTGACCTTAAAAACCACTGTATTCATATCAAGTCCAAATGGAGGCACCAGGTAAAAAACGCTTGAGTAAATTTCTTTGACAAGATAAAGTGAAAAAGATGAATTTTTAGGTCTCTGTGTGGGCGTTCAGGGNGGGGGGGGGCGGGTTGCATTTGGTTGACAATCTGAACAATGCAGTGATGTCACGATGTGGGTGTACAACCTAATCTAATCAAATCAGAAACCATAAAAACTTATTATTATGTATTTATTTGAACAAATCAAAAGATTAATTTTAATATTAATTTTTTTTTCGAAGCACTGTTCCCAAATTTAGTGGTCCTTAAAAAATTTTAAGTGAAATACAGTGAAATTAATCAACTAATTGAAAAGGTGTGTTTGCCAAAAATTAAAGCTATATTTTTTAATATGATAAAACAAGACATTCGTATATATATTCCCTATAGCCGGCCAAACGGCTGGACCGAATGGACTGAACATTTTTGAGAGAACCCAGACCCCAGGGGCACTTCAGCTAGTATTTTCTATTTTCCTTATTCCCACTCTGATTTTATCTGGTTTGTTTATAAATATGTTATTAAATTTGATATATTTTTACGGGCTTACAACGGGGGAAAGATTGGACTATTATGTTGATAATAAATATAGATTGGAATTTACAAGGGTCTTAAGAAAAAATCATGACCGTATATGCTGAAGCTTGTATGAAGTGTGTTTTAACAACAAAATATCATTAATGGTTTAAATATACAAATGAACATGAAAATACTGGTTTTAAGCAGCCCCCCTTAAACCAAAATATGAGAAATATTAAATGCAAAATGCAACATTAAATGTTTAACGATGATACTGCTGCAGATCTAACATGTGTATTCAATAAAGCCTTCCTTTAAAGTTAATAAATAGAATAAGAAAAAGGAAAGATCAAATAAGATTTGACATTTTGTCAAGTTTATGATTTATCGACAATGGGTCCCAATTCAAAACCATACAATTTGTTGACTTTTTTCTAATAATAATTAATTTAATCAAAATTAAGTATGTGCTCAGCTTTGGATATTTTGAAATGGATAAATTCTTTTTTTCATTTCCTTTGGGTATTTTTTGTATGGAATAATGATGTTTATCAACCAAATAAGATTATAATGTGCACATTATATTATACCTTAATTTATCATCTGAATCCAGCAGATCACGGAATGTTTTAAAAACAGCTAAAGGAGCTAAAAGCAATAATGCCAGTTTCTCCTAAAAGAAAAACTCTTTCATTTCTCTGAAAAATCCGCCAAATAATTGTTTATCTTTCCCACCCTTTACATTGAGCTCTTGTTTTCTTAACACCATGACGAAGAAATAAGATATTTTAGGGTAAACATAAAAGCTTGGAATATCATTTGTTAAATAGTTCTCAGTTACAGCCCTACTTGAAATTTTAAACCTTAAATCATTTCAAATAAACGACAGTTCCAAAATTGATTGAATGGCGATTAAATTCATTTTCCCTCCCCCAACTCAAGTTTAATTGTGCATGAATTTATGGCGAGATGTAAGTGGATTGCAGGCCATAAATAGAAGAGGCATCATTTTAAACAATAAATAGGAATATATCTTCAAGTTACATATGGTCAGAGTTCCGCCTTCAGATATAAAATCAAAATCAATATCAAAATCAAAATCAAAATGGCGAAGAACTTCACAAAAAAAAGGTTTGAATGAACTGCTTTGAAGTGTAAAGTTTATTCACGTCCAAGCAATTTCAGAACCCGCACACACGCTTTAAAATTCAGAGCACAGAGCGCAATTACTCAACTATTGATGGATATGTCGCCCACGCATTCAACTATTGGAGTGCGCGCACATATTTCTTATTTCAAGATTAAAGAGATTTTAACGGAGTCAAGGAAGGTATCGTAAGTCACACCGCCAATGCCGCGTAGCATTCAAGAACTGAATGTGCGAGTTTGGGTCTGCGCGGTGCGCGCAGCAGTGCACGTCATTCTCAATCTGCGCGAGAGAGAGGGAGGGATGCAAGGAAAAATGATGTAAAGAGAAGGGTGGGGAAACATTCGGACTTTGATTTTAAGAATTTTACTGCAAGGGAAGGGTCTGGGTGGGTTTCTTGTAAAAATT